TTGAGACCAGACAATTTATATGAAGGAAATTTAATAAGACAAATGAGAGCAGCAATGAGTTCCCCTCAGCAACAGATACATTTTGTTTTGGACCTTAAATGAAAGAATCGAGGTAAAATCTCAATGGACATGACAGTTTTGTATTATTTTTTTTATTCCTATATTCCAATCAATATAATTAGATAAATTACAATAATTTACAAATTAATTAAAGTGTAAATTTTCACAGTTAATTTATTTTTTTGTATCAGCAATCGTTTGCAAGAGTTTAATAATGAATTATGAATTTTAAATACTTGCATAACATTATTCAGCATGGACTTCAACTTCTGTTTAAGTTGATCTGAATTTAGTGCAATTTAATAATAAAATCAACAATGATTCATTGTATAAATTATTTATATATTATATATTTATATATCTATCTATAACAGTGCAAGAAATCCGTTTGGCCTTTTACTTATGACTTGACCTCTAGATCAGTTTGCCATTTTAATCTGGCAACAATTTTAACGAGTTTTGGATGTTTTGTTCATCCTTTCACCCACTTACCGTCCGATCAGTTTCAAAATCATTTTCAAAGATTTTTGGGAGTACTTATTTTATACGTTCCGCGGGCAATGCCGGTGTATAACCTTGGTATTACGAATCGTATTTAGAAATATTATATTATATATTTCTAATACAAGCAATCGGAAAAATTAAAACTCATATAAAAGTATCTTTGAGCCAACTGTCCAAAAGGGTATTTCTTCTTGATATTTCCGGAGATAGCTGTTGTCTTATTTTATTCTCCAATATGACAACTTCTTGGGACAACTTTGAGCATTAGAATCAATTTCCGAAGAAGAAAATTACGCGATATTCTTACAGATTACCACCTATAAAATGAAGGTCAAAATACATTATATTCACTTTACTTTTATTCCATTTTAGATATGAATTCAAAATGTGTTGCATATTGAACATTTAAAAATAGTCTACAAGCAAAATATTATATGAAAACAAAATAAGCATACTATTAATGTAAAAATATCCGATGCACATTTATTGTATTAACTATGCAAGTTATATGCCTTATTTTCATCCATCGGACTGGGCTAACGAGAACAGAACCCCTCGAAGTTCTCAGTGCAAGGCTAGTGCGGCACTTCTGGGTCTGGCTCCCAATCGCTCAATCCATTCCATTCATTCTTCCATCCAGTCCAGCCCCAGCCAATTTACGCAACGTCACAGCGTATCGTTGAACAATCGCTTGGCCTTCTTGTAGTTGGGATTGATGGGTCCGGGTAAAACATGCGGCTTAAGGACGCTTTTGCCGGGCTGGCGATTCGCGTCGTATGGCAGCTGTGGCGATAGCTTCAACTGTCTATAGTAGTCACTTTTGGGATAGGCGCTGTTGCACTTCGTCATAATTCGCACCCGTTTGCTGCCACTTCCCAATTGGGGCGATGCAAACTTATGGCGCTGTGCTGGGGTTTTGGGCGTGTCCTGGGCGGCTAGTGGATTGATCAACAGCTTGCTGTTGGCCTGTTTCAGTTGCAATTTTCGCGAGGGAACAAAGTAATCCTTTTCACCATCTTGTAATGGCTCATTCCAGCCGTTACTTGGCTTAGGAGTAGATTCGGCTGGCTCCGTTTCAGTTAACGTTGTTGACTCCTGTTCGGGTCGAGCAGCTTTTGTCTGCTCCTTAATCGGCTGCTTGGACTGTGCCTTGAGCTGCTGATCGGTCTCGTCCTTGGGCTGTTCCTTAGTCTGTTGCTTGGGCTGATGTTTGGACTTTTGCTTAGGCTCCTCAGCTTTCTCTTTTGATTGCTGTTTTACCTTCTCCGTCTCCTGCTTACTTGTCTTGGGATTTGACTCCTCGTCATTTGCGTCCACATCCTCGACTACCCAGGCATTGTTTATGCTTGAACGCACCTTCTCATTACGCTGAACTTGCTTCTGGAGTTTTGGCGACAGTGCCTTGCTTATGACCTGGTCGAAGTTCTCCTCATCGACCTCTTCAAAGTTAATGGACTTAAGAAGGCGCTTCCGCTTTGACTTGCTGAGTTTTTTGAGTTTCCGCCCGGTGCCGAAATTTGATTCCTCAAACTCATCCGCCTCTGCGATCTTCTGCTCCACGAGCTCAGACAGTGTGGTGCCTTCAGGCTTGGGCATATTACGCACACCCAAAGGAAATTCACCGCTCGCATATGTCTCAAAGACGTGCAACAGCTTGCGCAGTCCCTTACGCCGCTTGCCGTTGTATTCCTCGGTGCGAAGCAATGTCTGTAACTCGTCCAGCACACAATCAGCATTTAGCGGTAGTTCAGGCATAAGCACATCCACATTTCCCGCACGTGGATCAAGCGATGTGACCTCTTGCTGTTGCTCTTCTTCTTCCTCCTCTTCTTCTTCATCGAAGCCTGAGTCCATCTTTTCGACATCGTCTATAGAGGCGCTGGGAAAACCCATTTCCTTCCATGCCTTGTACTTCTCGCTGTACTCGCGACCCAATTCACTCTGATAAAGCAAATGGTAGAGTACCCGCGTGCGGCACTGAGCCACTAGCTTGGCGTCCCGCTGTGTGCCCACATAGTGTACAAAAGGCCGCAGGAAAAGATTTACCTGTTCGGCGGTGATTTCTTCATTGGCAGCCTTTGCCAGCTCTTCGAAGAACACATCCATGTAATGCATGGTGAGCCCTCGGGATTTTGGCTGCTCTGCTAGCACCGATTGCTGCATGCTGACATTGAATGCCTGTATTAAATCCGCCGACCATTTGTGCTTCTTTAGCAAACGCAGCATGTAGCGTAGCATGCGACGTACAAGCATCAGAAATTTATCCATGCGCCACTGATCGATTCCGAACCACTCCTGGCACATGGTGCGCATGAAGGCGCTGAAATAGGCCAGGCTGCAGGCAGTATTGCCGCCAAAGCTGTCTACCATTTGGGCCAGCTGTTCGGCCAGCTCCTCTTGGACCAGCGGCTTGTCTGACATCCAAACGTTGTAGTATAGCCCTTTCCAAATGCGCATGAAATCGTCCTCAGTGAAGGGAAAGGAGCTGACCGCCCGCAACTGAAACCATTTTCGCAGCTTCCGGATCTGACGATTTCGCTTTGTTAAGTCATTGCATGCCAGTGCACGCACTATTTTCACCTCCTGAGCAATCACCAGCAACTCTTTCGGCACTTTTGGCTGTGAAGCGCCGCCATCTTCGATTTCATCTCCTTTGTCAATGGCAGCCACCTGTGCGCTGCGCTTTATAGGCCTTTTTCTCGTGACCATCATTGATTATACTAAAACAACTGCAATTTTTTTCCAAATTGCTCTGGTATGTATTGAAAGCGGTTGCTACGAGAGAGGAGGGCGCACGTGTTGTGCGGCCTGGTATAAATCGATTAATATTTGATGCTATGTTCGCCACGTTTTCCAACACTTGTCGAGTTGCATGTGGTCAATATAATTGACGCTAACAGATTACGCTCTACATGCGATTCGTTTTTCGATTGTAAACTGTGACGTCAAGAGTGAATAATAGTTATGGTTATAACTCCTGTGAATTGTAAAAAAAAATGTGAATCAGAATCCATAACTTTCGAGTTTTTAAATACAAAGGAGCTAACATAATATTGTGATCTTTTTAATTTATTTGTTTTAATTTTATATGAATCAGTAAAATTTGGTTGCGCATGTCGTTACCTTAACACGTTTTTGGGTGTAATCTTCTAGTTTCGATATTTTTGTAAATGCATAATCATATATATCGTAAAAAATTTGTAATGTTAAATTTATAATATAGTTTTAATACAATTTAACGGAAACACGTCGATTCGTTGTTCATTTACAAAAAATTTTATTATTCAGATTAGTACCGGCTTTTAATACTAAATTTAAATAACGTTGCTGGGCATCACTTTTTCCCAGCTGACATTCTAAATAGCAATTTCCACAAAATTGGCTTTAAAATTACTAAACTATTATCTTTGAAATGCCTGTGGTAACTGTAGAAACCTCCGAAGAATATCAGAAATATATTAGCGCCGATAAAACGACCGTTGCGCTATTTGGCGCCGACTGGGCCGAGCAATGTGCTCAGGTAAACGACGTGCTCAGCGAGCTGGCCAGCATTGTGGGCGATAAGTTGCAATTCATTACGCTGAATGCCGAAAAGTTCCCTGAGATATCAATGAAACATCAGGTGAGACTTTGTGCACCTTTAATGTCAGACTAAATCAACAAAACTGTCTTGCCAGATCGAGGCTGTCCCAACTGTTATATTCTTCACCAAGGGTTCCGCTGTGGACCGCGTAGATGGCGTGGATGTTGCTGCAATAAGCAGCAAGTCCAAAAAGTTAGCCGAAAGTGCGAGCAGTTCTGCATCGACAGGACAAACTCTGGAGGAGCGTTTGACGGCGCTTATTAACAAGGCGCCGCTTATGATATTCATGAAGGGGGATCGAAATGCTCCGCGCTGTGGCTTTTCCAAGCAGCTTATTGCTATTGTTAACGAGACAAAGTATGTACATTTAACGGAATTATGTACAAAATATTTATTACTATACAACATTTTTAGTTTGCCGTATGAAACTTTTGACATTCTCTCGGATGAGGAAGTTCGTCAGGGCTTGAAGACCTTCTCAGACTGGCCCACATATCCACAGGTTTATGTGAAGGGCGAACTTATCGGTGGATTGGACATCATCAAGGAACTCTTAGCCAACAACGAGCTGGAAGCTTCGCTTAAGGGCTAAGCTAAACGAATAAATGAACAAACATCGCTTCTCACAAACCAATAATGTCCAACTTTTATAAGCAAAAATAAACGAAAACATAAATTTTTTGAGAAAGCAGACAATTATTGCAATACATTTAACAGCTATTAATCTAGCACTAAAATGATTTATAATTTTATTATATGTTCGTTTACTTTTATTGCCAAGTGTATTCCAAATGTCTGTAGATGTGTATGCTGCTTAAACATTTTCGGTATGCAACACTGCTACAATGATGCTTGGCAGCACTGACAAATGACTATCAGCTGGTAGAAGCGACTTGCAATTAGTTCTAGGAGATAAAAATTGTTTAAATTTGAGATTAACAAAATATGGCTGAAGCCAATGCTGCTGCAACAACTAACGGCGAGGAGAAAAAGCTATCCGACATATTTTTAAGTGGCTGGAATCTGCTTGACGAGCTTGAGGTCACCGAGCTACCCTTCAATGGCAGCGAATTTCAGGTGAGTGTAGACAAACGCATCTAAATTACAGATATATAAGAAATGATTATTTAGAATAAAGTGAAAACAGCAATGGAGTATTTTGAGCAAGCCACTGTGATTGTCAATCAAGTGAGCATGTTCAGTCCCAATGAGCTGATTGACGAGGTGTCCACGGATTCGCTGCCCTTTATGCTGTTGCCATACTTCCTGGGCAAGCTCAGCACGAAGATTAACAATCCAAATAGTACAGAAGCCATAGAGTTAGGTGAAGTCTATTTTAAAGATCATCTTCAACGCTGCCAGGAGTACGAGCTCTGCGAAGCGCCCAGGAGCAAAACGCAGCAGGACAACAAAACGGATGCAGCGCAGCAGAGAAGCGAACAACGCGAATTAATAGAGGCGGCATACAATCGGAATGACAAAATCGCACAGTACCGCAAGATGAAGGACATTGACGAGTATATGTCCCGCATGCGTTATGCCGTTAAGAACAAGACCGCCGATGACGAAGTGCGTCGTGAATTCTTTTTGAAGTATTTGGATAAGAGCATCATGGATGCCAAGCAGGAGTTGGAGAGTCTGCGCATGATGAAAGAAATGGTTAAAATGCGTCTCGGACGCATGAAGGCTGGAGCACAGGCACAGTTGGAAAACTCAACTGCAGAGCAGCAGCCAAGAGCTCACGGCGGGCACAGTCACGGCCACGGACACAGCCATGGACATCATCACATAGAATCAAAGCCAAAACCGCTACAACCATTTATTATAACACGCAATGCCACACAGAAGGCAGTTTTTGGCTTGGGCTATCCTAGTGTGCCCATTATGACCGTGGACGAGTTTTATCAGCAACGCGTAGACGAAGGCATCTTCCCCGACGAGCAAAAAATGGCCAAAATAAATCAAGAAAAGGCGATTGCAGCCGCTCTGGACCCCAATGAGCAGGAAGACGAAGAAAATGCTGTTGTGGAACTCCAAGTGGAGAATGACGACCCAGAGTATTTGGCGCGCATGCGGCGCATGGACGAATACAAGGATGTGGTCCGTCGTGGTGATGGAAATCGTCATAATCGTAGTTAAACTAAATTCTCAACTAAAAATTAATCATGCATTAAAGTATTTTGTATTTTTTAAAAACAACCAATGTTTGCATCTTAATCCAAGTCATTGCAAATTTGAACCACCACATGATAAAAACAAAATTAAATGAAAATCGCAGTTTCAACTGCAAAGGCAAATGCACAAATTGAAAAATTAATAATAATTAAAGAAAAAAATAAAATTAATGGAAATTTATACAATAATAATTAAGATTTTATTTTCTGTTGAGTGTATTTCAATTCAATTGGGGTTCGTGCCCGCTAGATCTATATTGCTGTTTACAATTATTTAAATAATATAATTTAAGTGATTTAAAGGACCTTCACAAATAAAAAACTAAACATCCACATAACGATAGAAAAATTGACAGCAAATTGTTGCGAATATAATCTTATTTTACTTCCCGCCGTATTGCAATTTAAAAATAACGTATTTTTAAATATATTCCTGCTATGGGACTCTGATGAGTCCAAGTACATCTTCGAACACTTTGGTGACAAGTGTCACATAAAAGTATCGAATAGTGTTGGAAATATTATAAACTCTATTTGCATGCATGCACTTACACATGTATATACAAAGTTATGTATGCATGTGCCATGTATGTACATACATATGTATGTATAACAAACGCACACCAAGCTTACTTGCAAACTACAAATAATAATATAATCTGCTAACAGGTTGTGTTTGCTGCTTAAATTATTAGTCGCTTTTACTTCATTAGTTTAATAACAGTTGGCAATCAATTAATCGTGTATTAGTTATACAGATATGTATATTTATATATAAATACGAATATTTGTTAGGCAATTAAAATCTTGGCACACGCTACCTCCTAGCCTAATAATATAACAAAAATCAATTCAGGTAAACATTAATTAGATTTAGAAAAAATTAGAGCCCAAAAACTGGGGCTTGAGCCGAGTTGGGTTTTGGTATTTGTCCTATTGGTCCAAATTCCAAAAAAAAAAACAGTTTTAGTATTTTAATGAACGCATACGGTCACACTGTATTTCAACACCAACCAACAAGAACAACAACAATAAAAAGACAAGGCACTCGAAAAATTAACATTTCGTTAAGAGCACACCATCTGACACAAATTGAACAATTGAATTATAAACTAACCAAACGAAACGCTCGCAACGCAACGCAACGCACAACTAGGCAACGGGTATATGCTCGAATTTTAGAGCTGCAATTTGCAATTGGAAACATCGATACCATAGCAAGCACACGCACGGGTAATAAAAACAACAAGCACAAGCATGTCTGTCAGTGATTTCATTAAAGGTTTACCCATACACGATTCCAACAACTTTACACACCTGAGCAACGATCACGGCATACGAACGTCGCAAAAGCGCGCCTCTGTCTATTTACCCACAGAGGATGGGCAAGAACAAGCTCAACTGATTGTGATGGATAAGAGGTGTGTGCTACTTCGGTATCTCACACAGCAGTGGGACAAAAAGACACTACAACGGAAGCGAGAGCACGGCAACGATGGGAGCAGTAACAATACCAACAGCACCCCGAATGGCAACAATAGCAAAAAGCGCCCACGCTTAGACGCCAATGAGCTCAACTGAGGCAGCCACACACTCAAACATGCATAATTCACATCTGAACTCTGTGGAGAGCAAACACTACCATAAAACATTAAGATATATCCCATTTATGTTTAAAATAAATACGCTAGAAAGTAACTAACTAGAACCGTATATTATATTGGTTGGCGAATTGTTCGATCAGATAATGAATCAGCCCATCAGCATATACATTTTCGAATATGTCGTAAATTCTCATCATTTCAAATAATAGATTTCTATTAACAGCCAATGTATGCTCGTGTTTGCCCAATGGTTTTTTTTTTTACTTCAGAAACAAATATTGGGTTTGACTACATTATTTAAAGCTAGTTTAATGGTGTCCCAAATCCTTGGGATCCGGCTTGCCATATTGCTTCTCCCACCAGACCACAAATTCTTTCTTGCGTTGTTCACGTTTGGCAAAATACTCTGGATATTGCGCCTTCTCCAGCGGATGCCAGTAGTCCAGCAGCCAATCTGGTGGGATGACCTCACGCTCATACGCACAACCGCCAGCACTATTAGCAACTGCAATAAAGAATATTAATCTTTGATTTTACAAGCTTTTAATTGATGGCATTATTCGACTTACAGTTTCTTGGCTGGTAATGTTTCGTCTCAAAGAGTTCCTTTTGGCCGCAGGCTAGCAGGCGCATACCCTCTGCCAGATCCTTGTTCCGATTCTCATCAAAGCGTGCACGCATCTGCACCGCCCGATAACGGAACACTTCACTATTACCATGGATTTGGAATGAAGATGCACACAATTTATTATATAATCAAGCGGTTTGCTATTAAGGTGCAGCGTACACTTACCGACGATCATACCATGCCTCCAGATTGCGCACAGCTCGCTTGTACAAGCTGCACACCTGGCGTTTGTGTGACACAATAGCCAAGGGAACTTGGGCCATGTTTAGTTGCTCAGGTTGTGCAAAATCTGGATTATGCTTATTGAAAACAACAACAATATCTGATGAGAACTGTCAAATGTCGTGTGCTGCACAACGACGAGTTTGAAATGTTTTCCAACACTGTAATACAGTGATGCCAGACTGTGTGACTATTTAGTTTTATTGATTTGAATAAGTTATATATCAACAAATACCAAGAAATTAAAAACTAGCGAATTAACATTAGGTATATAATAAACTTTAGCCTAGCTCATAACATTCAATATACACTGAACAATATGCTCAGGTATTTTCAGTGGATGCTCACACAGCTCCCCCGTTTGTTGGTCGTACATGTATATCTCATTAATAACGCGATCCTCCTGCTCTGCATCCAACGAGGACACCAACACCATTGAGCCTTCCGACAGTTCGGCCAGTATTTGTTCAATATCGTGCTCGCTTACACTCTCCGTGTTGGGACTTTCTAACAGAGGTGTCTCCGAAATAAAATCAACTATATATGTTGTGTCCGTCTCTGGAGTATAAACCGTCTCGCTATCTGTGACCGTGTCCACGTCGCTTACATAGTTATGCGCACCATCGTCCAGGTCGCGCAACCCGGACTTGTCGTTGATCTCATTCTGTCCCTCGTCCAACAAAGAGTTAAGCTCCTGCTGCAACTGCTCAGCCTTGGTCTCGATCAAAGGATCACTGCTTATTTGTTCCGTATCCATTTCCTTTTCTTTTTTAATAGCAGGAGGAAACACTCGTAAAATGTGCACGGGAACTGGTTGTTGCGTCTCCAACTGCTCTTTCTGTTGCTGCTGCACCTTCTGCTGCAACTTTTGCTGCAATTTCTGCTTGACGTTTCGCAGCTGCGCCTGATCCTGTTCAAGTTGCTGTTTTAGGGGCCGACGCTTGCGCTTTGGTGCTTCCGCTCCATTTTGGCTATCTAACGCTGCACGGCGCTTGGCCAGCGCATGCTTGCCCAGTTTTTGCTTGGTCACGTGCTCGTTCTCGTACACTAGATCCCCATCGCTGAGGGTGCGTGCCGCTTTGCTGTGTTGCGACTTCGAGCGCTGCAATAAAAATGATTTCAGTTAAAAAAAAGCTAAGATATTGGACTTAAAAAATTGTCTAGTTTATTCATTTCGCAAACCTTTTTGGTATTTTCCGCTTGAGCTGTAACGATTTCCTGCCACTCGCGATCTGCCTCAGCTCGCTCGCGATCCTCCTGCTCGAGTTGATCTTTCAGCTCCTGAATATTGAATGCCTTTGGATAAAGCAGCGCCTTATTAATTAGCTGCCCATTTATGCGCTCCTCGCGCTTGTACTTGAGCTTAAGATCACGTCGAGTGCGCTTAGGAAACATTTGGCACATCAGGGAGAAATCGGTGCCAATGATTTGTAGACTTCGATAGAAGCGCACCGTATCATCCGATGTCCAGGTGGGCGTACGCTTATGCCGCTTGTAAAATCCATTGTCTCCAGTTGTTTCATCCATGAGAATCAGCGACGAGTTTGCCAAAACTTTGCGCGCTTCCACCTCGGCGGTGGTTTCAATCTCCAGAGTTTTCTCGTCTATTATCATCTCCCCATTAGCATCAAGTTTTAGTTGTGGCACCGGCATTGCTGCATTTGCTGATGGTTCAGTTTTGGTCTCCAGCAGCTCAGCCGAGGTGGGTTTAGACTCATCTGAGATATCGCTGACGCTGGAGCTGCCACTAGCCTCCGCCTTGATGGTCGTCACCACAGGCTTTTGCTCCATTGGATTGCTCTCGGGATTATAAAAGATCATGTCAAACATTTTGAATGTCGACTTATCGGGTATGCCCTTGTTAAAGCGCGTCTCGAAATCTCGCTTTGCATTAACGCGCTGCTGCGCCTGAGTTTGTGCCTTATCCCCCTCTCCTTTGCGCGGTTTAGCGCCGCCTCCGCCACTGTCGGAGTAAACAGAACAGCTCGACTCGGTGCGTATGCGCCCCATGCCTGGACTCATAACACCAGCTGGAAAGTATTTGGGCGATGCCTGTACCTGTTGCGGCGTTCCGCTCCCGCCACTCACTGATGATCCGCTTAGGTAACGCTCTCGTCTTGTTGGCGTGCCAGGCGACTGATAGTCACCCTCCAAATCGGCCGCCAGAGGCGAACCCACAAAGCTGTTGCGTCGTTGCCCAAAAACAGGAGTGGGTCGCAACCGCTGGCGTGCCTGCGCCTTACTGGGTGACATGGGGAATCCACTCGAACTCTTCTGCAAATCCATTTGAATGACATTATCCTCCAGATCTGAATGAAACACATCATCCAACTGGCCTGCGCTACTGGCAGCGGGCATTTTAAAAGCAACTTCAGCTGCATCTTCATCTAGATGCTCCTGCTTAGCGAGAGCGGTTGGGAGGGGTTCGGGCTCAGCTTGTGGTTCCGGATCTGTTTCGCCTCTGCGCGGTTTGCGCTTGATTTGAGTTAGATTGGCAGTGGCCTTAATGCGTTGCCGTCGCGTGGACATGGCGTGACTTCTTAATTATATTTAACGCATTTACTTAGCAAAACAAATTGCATGCGAAGTAGCTGTAACAATAACATTCACAAGTGTGCAAGAGCACGAGTTTCGGAAGAACAGTGTTGCACAACGTGAAAAATAGCATTAAAGCAACAGACTGAGCAAGCAAGGTATGTAAAAATCAACAGATTTTAAATGGCACATTTTGGTCTTTTATTTCATAATAAACCATAAACTTTTTTACTTATAACTGTGATAAAATCTGATCCCTTGCCTGAAATTTGATACATATATTTATTTGGAGTTGAATTTATATGCTTGGCATTAATAACAATAATAAAGCATTGTCAAAGCACAAAATATATTCTTTAGAAGTTAAATAATTTTCTCCAGTGCTACGTAGGAAGTCTGCTAGACTGTATTTCAAGCTAGGAACTATTTGTCACTGTCAGACCGTAAAAAAAAAAAAAACAAATAAAAAAAATGTCACCGTAAAAATTATATATTAACTACTGTTTGGGTTTATTCGAATAGAAAATAACAACAAAAACTGTTACTGGCTGGACAGCTTACCCTGCTCAGAATTCGAGCTGCACAATTTTCGACTTTTCCAACACACATTCGAACAACGATACAAATTGCAGGTTGCACGTTTTGAACATAAAATGTGGGCGCCTTGATAACAAAGCAACAACGACGTGAATCTATATTATATACATAAAAATTGTCAACAATTAAAAGGGCACGAAAACAAAATTATACAAGTTGAAAGGCAAGGCAACAAATGTGACAGGAGGTGTGTGTCAAAATTTGTAGCGGAGGAACAGGCAACATTAATAACAGTACAGCCGCTGCCGCTGTCCGACTGTTATGCAAGCACCGCTGCATCCCCCCACCTGAGCAGTGCAGCCCAGCAGAAATACAATCAATTAGCCGGTCGCCATGCTGCTAAACCGTTTCATTTCAGCCATTAAAAATCAATCGAGAGAAACCCTGCGCGCCTGGAGCTATCAATGCGAATCAATATTCGCGCAACGCTCGCGCCGCCTGCAACAGTTGCTCAGCTTCTACCAGTCCGTCTATGGAACGCAAGGACTAAAGCAATTGTGGCGCGCCTATTACCGCAGCGAACTGCAGCCGCCGCTGCGGGGCTTTGTCCTGAGCGCTGTGGGCATCATGGGACTCAATATGAAGAGGCCGGGAAGCGACGGTTTTGACTGGGCCAAGGAGCGGCTGGCGCTATCAAACTTTGATTTGTGTCAACGGGATATTGACTTCATAAATACGCTGCCTGTCAATCAGCTATGCGATCGCTGCCAGGCAAAAAAGATGAAGTACTGCTATTGTATGTTGGGTAATCAGCGCTGTAAGAAGGGCGGCGTTGTCGTACTGCCACCCAAAAGCGATCAGTCGGCGATTAAGGAGGAGCAAGCGGCCAGCATCAGCAACTGTCATAAATCGCTGGACCTGGATGGACGTGCGCCTCAGGGCCAAGTACGCATACAGGCGCAGGAGGATCGCAACTGGGAGCCGTACTTTAGTAAGAATGAGTTTAGTATTTGGCGACGGGAGGAGCACGGCTCGCTCTACTCATACAAGGTGTATGCACGTTTTGATGACATTACCGCCGATGATTTTCTACATGTGCAAACGGATCTGGATTATCGCAGGCAGTGGGACGATACGGCGCTCAGGCTGGAACTAATTAGCGAGGATCCAGTGCCCGGTAGCAATTCGCATCTAATTTACTGGGAAATGCAATGGCCGCGACTTTTTGCCAATCGGGACTATGTGTATTGTCGACGGTATCACAAGGATGAAAGCAAAAAGATGATATTTATCTGCAGTCGCGCTGCCAAGCATACTACATATCCAGCCATTTCGGGAAAGGTGCGAGTCACTGACTACTGGAGCCTAATGGTCATTAAGCCATTCCGTGGATTCCACGAGCCGGGACTGCACTTTGTGCTCACCTACTACGATGATCCGGGCATACCCATACCGCAGAACATCAAATCCTGGGTCACGCAGAAGCAAATGCCCGAGTTCCTTACCAAAATGTATGTGGCGACCAAAAACTATGCCTGCTCGCGTGCCATCAAGATGAAAGATATGTTCAACAGCTTTACAATAATCAACGATGAGTATACGGCCAATGAGCAACGCGGCAGCTGGCTGGGAAGTCTCAGCCGTCACAGGCGCAAGCTCAATAGCGACAATGAGGCCGAACGCTGAAAGCTGCAGTTCCTCCTCACTGTGTCCAGAGAGCAATTAAGAATTATGATTATGATAAAAAAGAAGGTACAGCAAGAAACACCAACAGCAATACAGCCCCCTTATCATCTTATGTTGTAAATCATTTATAAGTACATACATATAGAAGCAATGAACAATTAGGGATCGATCATCCAGTTTCTAGAACTTAACAAATTATTTCATCAACTGTGCAAATGTGCAATAAAATAGCATTCGCAACTTGGAGGCATTTAAAATGTTGAATCTTGTGTGCCACACTAAAGAACCCGATTATACATAGCTACATACATGTACAACACGTATAAAAAATTTACATATATATATTTTACCAAAAACCCTGATTAAGTTTAGAACTTTGTTTTCTTTTTAAACAATTTATCAGAAATTATAAAAATTATACATACACACACATGTAAAAATAAATACGAGCCACACTCTTATACAACCAAAATTGAAAATGGGAGCAACAAAACTGGCGTTTCCTTTGTCAGAAGAAGAGCTGGCTAATTATTATTATTAGATACATTTAATAAGCATTTGCTTTATGAACAATTTATTAAGGATTTGCATTCGGCAGACCGAAGCTCCGAATAATTTCAAAACAATAATCAGCTTTCATTTTCGTCCGATTGGTTATTACTGGATCCAACAATTTGATTCAACTTGAAAGGCAGTTAACATGTTAGAAAATTATTGCTAGGGATTTTAAAGCGGGCATTGTAAATATAAAATTAATACAGATTATGTTGGAGATTCCATCAATGATTGATTGTTCAGACTCATCACAGTTCGCTATGGTCCTTCGAGCTGGGTGGATTGTTCATATAGGCTATGAAATCTTTGCTGGTACGTCCGCCGTTGTATTCGAGCTGCGTTTTGAGGTAGGAGAAGTATATTAAGGTGGGATACCCGCGCACATTGTACTTGGCGCAAAGGGCAGCATGTTTTGTGCAGTCGACGGCAACAAAGGCAACTCGAGGATCATCTTGCAGCGCATTTGCGGCAGCCGTAAATTCCGGTTTTGTGTGCTTACAGTGACCACACCCTAAAACCGAGTGTTAATAAAGTTCAATCGGTATACGTAAAATACATACATGGAGCATAAAACATAACAAGCGCGTGCTTCTTGCGTTTCAGTGTCGAGCTAAAGGTTTTATCGTTAAGAAAATGAACCTCAGAGCTGTCATCCTCCTCCTCCCAGCTCTTCTCCGGCGGCGGCGGTGGTGGTGGCTCTTTCGGGTCTCGCATAAATTCGACTATTTTGGAAGCCTCGCGTACATTTACATCGAATTTGTAAACACCATACGAAAAGTATTTTATACTTGGATAGCCCTTAACTTTGTACTTTTCGCCAATGGTCGGTTCTTTAGTGGCATCCAGTGCGGCGAGCATTCCTGGCACATTGTTATGCTTCATCTCAAGCGCTGCCTTTTCGTACTCCGGTTTCATGCGCTTGCAATGGCCGCACCAGGGAGCATAAAACATGACCAGCACGGATTTTTCATCCTTTAGCGCTGGCTCAAAGCCCTGCGTAGTGAGATGAACAATTTCTGAGTTTGTGTCAGCCGACCAGTCGGGTTCCTTTGGCTTGGGCGTTGGCTTCACATTGGGATTCAGCATAAATGCTACCAATGCGTCCTTGGTATTCTCGCCCTCGTAGGTCATGCGCATTTTTCCGTTCTCAAAGTAAATTAATGTAGGAAAACCTGCAAAAATTATATTCAGATATTAAAAATTGTTATTAAAGGAATCAATGTATTCATTAACATTACCAGTTAGATTAAACAATTTGCGCACTGGAGCATTTTCTTGTCGCTCCACATTCATGGCGGCCAACAGATATCCACCTTGTGCCTTAAGTTCGGTAGCTGCTTTGCTGTAGTCCGGCTTCATGCGCTTGCAAAAGCCGCACCACGGCACATGAAACATGACCAGCATGGGCCGTATATCCTTGCGCAGATGTTTGCTAAATGCGGCGGCGTCACTAAAGTGCAATACATCCGCACCGGCAGGGTCCTCTTCCCAGGGTAAATCACCTGCTGGATCGCGCATAAATGTTATCATGGAGTTTACGCTCAGCTGACGATCGTAGTCCTTGTGGTAATCCCCATCCTTGTAGTGGCGCAGTGTATACGGTGTGGGCGTTACTTTAAGCTTCTTGCAGAGCTTCTTGCGCTCCTGATTGGAGCAATCCACATACAACATAGTTCCTGTGCCGCGTATCGCTTCTGCTGTCTCCCGAAACACCTTCAACTCGGCAGCAGCCTCCTTGGCACTGGATACATAGAGAGCAAGTACGTTGTTCTTCGTCCGCAGTAGTTTCTTGAAGTCTTTGTAGTCTATTATGTCCTCCTGCACAGCAGAGATTTTCGATTTGGCGGCAACAAGTGCCAGCAACAGGAGCATGAGCAGCATTACAAACTGACGGTGCCTCGACATAATGTTTGCACTTTAAACTTAATGAGAGTTACTAGCTAATTTAACAATACGTTTAAGATGTTTAACTAATGTAATAAATGCATATCTCTCTTTTCTACAGATCAACAATTGCAACTTAAAATGCCGATGAAGACGTCAGCGTTTAGCCGCAGCGTTGCCACATCGCATTGAAGACTGTTTCTTGGAGCGTACACCATGTTTATACGTTAATTTTCACAAGTCAGCGAAAATTAAAAGGTACACTCTATTGCATAATATTAGTAACTGTGAAGCCGTTTAAATAAAAAAATTTTTTAGTAGTGTTTGTTTTTGGTCGGTTCGTTGATTTCATGTACCAAACCGAGTCTTGCACAATACAACGAATCGAACACTAAATGCACCGCTGTCAAATGTACGTGGCAGTTGGCAACACTGTCCCATAGCTCTGACACATTAACAAGAGGCAGAAGAAGCAGCAAGTTTTTTACAATCTCGCCGCAGTGGATTTGGTTTTGATTAGCTGTAGTAGGATATTATAAAACGTAAAGCTCTGCCAATATTAAGATGCCCCTTAAATTGGACATCAAGCGTCGTTTGACGTCGCGCTCGGACCGTGTCAAGTGCGTGGATCTGCATCCGGCCGAGCCATGGATGTTGTGTGCCCTATACAATGGCCACGTACACATCATGAATTATGAGAATCAGCAATTGGTCAAAGATTTCGAGGTATGCGATGTGCCTGTGCGTTGTGCTCGGTTCGTGGCGCGCAAGAATTGGATCATTACCGGATCGGATGATATGCAAATACGCGTTTTCAACTACAACACACTGGAGAAGGTGCACTCCTTCGAGGCGCACTCGGACTACCTGCGCTGCATTGCCGTGCATCCCACACAGCCCCTGGTGCTGACCAGCAGCGGTATGTTTACCAGCCATAAAACAGAGCTTTGACACAGAATATAACCTTGAATCCAAAAGAAGATACGTGTATTGTACAAAATCATAAACAAACAGTGGGATGACCTAATTGAGTTTAGTTTAAAACAGGGTTTAATTAATCTACTTTTGCAAAGGGTCTTAACAAAAGAATACTTTAATATTGCTATTTATTATTTCCCAGAAATATCAATATATTCTTACTGTCTTAAAGCAGATATCATTAATCGCAAATGTTTTCCATATGACCACGTATTTTCTTGAAGCATATAATGATTTTATCATCTTGTAGATGATATGCTTATCAAATTGTGGAACTGGGAGAAAATGTGGGCCGGCCAGCGAACCTTTGAAGGCCACACGCACTATGTTATGCAGATTGTGTTCAATCCCAAGGATAACAACACCTTTGCCTCCGCATCGCTGGACCGCACCGTTAAGGTGTGGCAGCTGGGTTCCAATTATGCCAACTTTACGCTGGAGGGGCACGAGAAGGGCGTCAATTGTGTAGATTATTATCATGGCGGCGACAAGCCGTATCTGATTTCTGGCGCCGACGATCGCTTAGTGAAGATCTGGGACTATCAGAACAAGACCTGTGTACAAACACTCGAGGGGCATGCACAAAACATTTCAGCTGTTTGTTTCCATCCTGAGTTGCCCATTGTGCTGACTGGCTCGGAAGATGGTACCGTGCGCATTTGGCATTCCGGCACCTATCGGCTGGAGACCTGTCTTAATTATGGCTTTGAACGCGTCTGGACTATTGCCAGCATGCGTGGCACCAACAATGTAGCCCTGGGATACGACGAGGGATCCATCATTATCAAGGTCGGGCGCGAGGAACCGGCCATGTCTATGGACGTGGTGGGCGGCAAAATCATTTGGGCCAAACATTCCGAAATGCAACAGGTAAAAATGAATTGGTATTTTTAAATAATTGTACACGTATTTAATATAAATTCTACATGTAGGTCAATCTGAAAACAATTGCCGATGGCACCGAGATTAAGGATGGCGAGCGTCTGCCCGTTGCCGTAAAGGATATGGGTGCGTGCGAGATATATCCACAGACCATAGCACACAATCCCAACGGCCGCTTTGTGGTGGTCTGCGGTGATGGCGAATACATAATCTATACGTCTATGGCGTTGAGAAACAAGGCATTTGGATCAGCCCAGGAGTTCGTCTGGGCCTTGGAAAGCAATGAGTATGCTATTCGTGAGAACAATGGCACTGTGCGTCTGTTCCGGAACTTCAAGGAGCGCAAAAGCTTCACACCCGAATACGGCGCAGAAAACATTTATGGCGGCTACTACTTTGGCGTGAAGACCTCGTCGGGCTTGGCCTTTTACGATTGGGAGTCATTACAGTTAGTGCGCCGCATTGAAGTTCAACCGCGTAATGTATTCTGGAATGAGAGCGGCAGTCTTGTTTGCCTGGCAACCGATGAATCCTACTTTATATTGTCCGTGGATGCGGCACAAATTGCCAATGCTCTGGAGACAAAGGAGGGACTGGAGGATGATGGCGTAGAAAGCGCTTTTAATGTGCTCGGTATGCTTAAAATAAGTAAAACAAATTTCTTATGATAATCCGTAGATTTCAGTTGATAATGAGAAATAGTTTTTCTGAAATTTGCTTAAAATGTCAAGACTAATTCGTGTTCCCCGTTTTTATCCGCAGGCGAAGTATCTGAGTCGGTCAAAACTGGTCTCTGGGTAGGCGATTGCTTCATTTACACGAATTCCGTGAATCGCATCAACTATTATGTGGGTGGAGAGATTGTGACCATCTCGCATCTGGACCGAACCATGTACTTGCTGGGCTATGTTCCCAAGGACAATCGCTTGTATTTGGGAGATAAAGAGCTGAACGTGATCAGCTTCTGCCTACACTTGTCTGTGCTGGAGTACCAAACGGCCGTGATGCGTCGAGATTTTGAACGCGCCGATCTTGTGCTGCCTACCATACCCAAAGAGCATCGCACGCGAGTTGCGCACTTCTTGGAGAAGCAGGGATTCAAGGAGCAGGCTCTGCAAGTGTCCACCGATGCGGACCACAAATTCGATTTGGCGCTGCAAATTGGCGAGCTGGATATCGCTTTGAAAGTGGCGCGCGAGGCAGAGAACTCACAGAAATGGTCCCAGCTGGCCGATGTTGCGGCGCGCAAAAACAACATGGCCTTGGTGAAGGAGTGCATGCAGAAGGCAAACGATTTTAGTGGATTACTACTGCTCTCGACTGCCTCAGGTGATGCACAGATGCTGGAGGAGGTAGGTGCAACCAGCTCCGCTCAAGGGCGCCATAATATTGCATTCCTGTCCGCCTTTCTTCGTTCCGATGTGGACCGTTGCCTAGAGATTCTCATCGAGACAAATCGTCTGCCCGAGGCAGCCTTCTTTGCGCGCACTTATTTGCCCAGCCAAATGTCGCGCGTGGTAGAACTATGGCGCGAGGAACTGGGCAAGGTCAACGAGAAGGCAGGCCAATCTCTGGCCGATCCAACGCAGTATACAAATCTCTTTCCGGGCCTGGGCGATGCGTTGCGCGTGGAGCAACATCTGCAGGAGGAGCGAGCGCGCAAAGTGCCAGCCCGCCTGGCGGGACAGCTGCCATTGAATAGCGAACGAAATCCACTTGAAGAACTGCATGCTGCTGAGCATCAAAGCGGTGCCGGTCAGCTAGAGGAAAAGGAGAAGCCGGCGTTTGTTCCAATGTCCTTGCCAACAACAACAGCAACAACAACAAGCGGCACAAAGGCTGCCGGCGTTGCCGTAGCCGCCGCGGTTGCTGTTAGCGAGGATGATGACGATGATTTAGATCTGGAGATTGATGGCATTACGTTGGATGATAACATAGATACGACAGATGTAAATCTAGATGATGACTTTCTGAGCGATGATTAGATGCGATAGCTATCCAGAGCACACGCTGTATTCGATAATATGGATTAGAAATGCTGTAAATTCTTTTGTTGATTCGGAATACCTGCAGCAAATGTCACAGAATCGAAAGCTACAAATTCCACAAACACACACACACACATACGCATGCATTCAGTTTTGATTTGATTGTATGCATGTTTCCCGTGCATTAATTATAAAAATTAAAAAAATTATATATATATATATTATGTACAACAATTATGCAGCAACATCCAATCACAATAATAAAATATATTTAAAAATGTGAAATTGCGCGCTTCTTCTTCTTATCGTTTGACATTCAGATCTTGGGCCAAATCAGCGTTGCCACAGGGCGAGCTGTCACTTTAAATAAATACGGCAACACAGCAGCATCACAAATACATATATACGCAGATATCGTGTGTGCGTCTGGATTTTGCTGTATTTTTTATTTAAGAATGAATTATTAATAAACAATTAATAAATTATTATTAAATAAAAAACAGTACAAAACCGCCAATCAACCGTAAGTAGCAACAGCACCAAATAGCAGCGGTCAGCAGTTGAGGCCACTTTCCAGAGAACTTATTGATTTTTTCTAAGCAACGTTGCATTAATTTCAGATACACAGAGTCTATAACTAATAACATTGAATATGGAACCGAAAAGCTATCTTTCCCATGAGCAGCAGCAGCAACAGTATTTGCACGAGCAGCAAATGCACTTGCAACACCTCCAGCAGCAGCAGCAACAACAACAACAACAACAACAACATCATCATCATCAGCAACAGCAACAACAGCAGCAGGCCATGCAGGCAGGATTTGCACCGCGTCGCCAGTATGACAACATGGGCAATTCGCCTGCTGCCATTGCGGCTGCCTGTTTGGCGAATGGTACTGCTGGCGTCGGCAGCTCCTCGATGGCAAAGCCGGCATTGATGCAGCGGCCGAAAATGAAGAAGGAGAAACAGCTGCAGGCGCTGCAACAGCAACAACAACATCTGTCGGAGCTGAGCGGTGCCAGCAGCACCGGCATGCTACCACCTGAGGAGACGCTCAAGTTTGTCAACGAAACGGATGCCAACGGGCTAACAATGAAAACGCCCGTCAGCATATTACAGGAATTGCTGAGCCGGCGCGGCATTACGCCGGGCTACGAGCTGGTACAGATTGAGGGGGCTATACATGAGCCAACGTTTCGGTTTCGGGTCTCGTTCAAGGACAAGGATACGCCCTTCACGGCCATGGGCGCTGGTCGCTCCAAGAAGGAGGCCAAACATGCAGCCGCTCGCGCTCTAATCGACAAGCTCATTGGAGTCCAGCTGGAGTCGCAGGGCAATTCGGCAGCAGCAGCAGCAGCGGCAGTTGGCTGCTCAATGGCCGGCAGCGGTGGCGATGGGAACGCCAATGTCACTGGCAGCGGCGAGTAATTATTGCTGCCGAATCATATATTTGAATGTGTTTAAATTTGCAATATTTTCATATACATTATTCTTTGACAGTGGAGGCGATAAGATTGTGGGCAATCCCATTGGCTGGCTGCAGGAAATGTGCATGCAACGTCGCTGGCCGCCGCCATCGTACGAAACGGAGACAGAGGTGGGCCTGCCGCACGAGCGCCTATTCACCATTGCGTGCACCATATTGAACTTTCGTGAGGTGGGCAAGGGCAAGAGCAAGAAGATAGCCAAGCGTTTGGCGGCCCATAAGATGTGGACACGCCTGCAGGAGACGCCCATCGATGCTGCCAAGATCAATGACAGCATCTGCAGCGAACTGGAGGGCGATGTGAGTAAATTATCGCTTGTAGATGCCGTGCAGCTGCCGGTAATGTCGAATAATCTTACTCCAAGACGGTTTTACGAGCGCATCTCCCCAGTTATAAATATAATTGATATTTAGTGCTAATCAATTTTCACGTTTTCTATTTATAACTATCGACAAACCATCTTTAGTTTTCGATGCTTTTGTTATTGTTGTGATGTTTCTCCTTGTTTAACAACGAACAGACTCTTAGACAAATGCAAAATAGAAATTAGATTAAACCATAACATAAATAACACGCAGTGCTTTCATTTGTTAATACTTTATAATTTTAAGCCTAATTCGTTAACTAGTAATCGCATAAACGGGCCAATTGCCAAAGACCTAAGAATAAACTTATTTAGATATGGATATTTTTGAGTCCAAATTTAATTGTGATTTTATTTTCTTTACGTTTATCATTCTTCTAATACTACTAAAAATCTAAGCTAGAAATCTAGATCTATAGAAATCTATCCTTCTAGAAAAAGGCATGCTGATAACTGAACTAACTATTCCAACTATTTAAACCGTAAAATATATTTGTTAGTACTTAAATTTTGTTAGCTGTTTAAAATATTATTATTATTATTCCTCCTCATATTTGACATATGTTAGCTACATCTGAATACTATATACTATATATATTAGATTAAGCAGCTTTGTCCTAGTTTTTGTTTTGTTTTGAATGTTTGTGATATGTTTCAACTCACCATTGGCGAGAATTTGTGCGTATTAAAGAAAAACATTGCGCTCTTATTTACAGCCCCGCATTAACGATAATTATTATGGTGATTTGAAAGATATCACTGTGCCAACACTGACCACGCAACACAGTAATAAAGTGTCCCAGTTCCATAAGGCATTGAAAAATGCGACGGGCAAAAAACTGCTTAAATTACAGGTAATGACAGAGATGCACCTGTTGCCGCGTTTTAGTACATTTGATAAATTGCACAATACATTTCTTATGAGCCATAAATTGCATAATTTCATTCATTTTTCGTTTTTACAGAAAACTTGTCTCAAGAGCTCGAAGATTGACTACATCAAGCTGCTTTCAGAGATTGCTGTCGAGAATCAGTTCGAGGTTACCTACGTGGACATTGAGGAGAGGACGTTCAGCGGCCAGTTTCAGTGCCTGGTGCAGTTATCCACGTTGCCAGTCGGCGTTTGCCATGGCACTGGATCAACAACTTCTGAGGCACAGCGACATGCAGCTCAGAATGCCCTGGAGTATCTAAAGATAATGACCAAAAAGTAGGTCAGCAACTGAATAGCAAAATCTGAACGCACATAACGACGATGAAGAAAATTAAAACGTCCTTATTAGCCCCCTGTATTCCGTGGTTCTCAGCAACAACATTCAACATTGTATTTAATATTTATTATTATTTTGTTTTGAGCTTAGTTCACCGATATGACTTTATAGCTGATCTGTACTATTCGCAAATCGTAGATATTAAATACCTTGATACGAATTATTCACAAACAAATATCCCAATTTAACTTGTACCGAATGAAAGATCTTATTTTAAGAAGCATCAAGTTATTGATATACGCATCCATTTTCAGGGAGTTAAAAGGAAAACCCATTAGCTTACCGATAATGTTGCAACCTAATTTTAACGTCAAATGACTAATTGTAAAATATATTTATATCTAGATTAAAACTTTTGTATAATTCTTAACTAACGGGGAAATTGTTATTTTGTCGGTCCTTAAAATATAATTTATTAAACTGTTGTACAAATTAAATCAACGTGTAAACATTGAATGGCAGTCAATGAAATAAATGTTTTAAAACTGCTATCAAGGAAGTAAACTTGCATTTTAATGGAACAAGGAAGAGAAACATATTATCTAAAGCAGCAGAGGTTGCACGCAGCTGTTTTCCTCTGTTCCGTCATCTACTTGACTCTGGGAAAAGTCTCCATGATTTTAAGTTATAATAAATCGAAATTGGCATTCGTTAAATTGGCTAAATACAATACCAACATTGAACTCAGTGAACGGGTTATATGAAATAGAAAGATTTTTATTTAAAGTACGTAATACTTATGCTAAACTAAGAACTAATTGGCGTTATATGCAGTTTATTTACATTGAACGACACAGTGGCTGCAGCATTGAGCCAAACGCAATTCGTTGCCATATGGTGAAGTCTGGGGCAAATGGATGTTAGTCTACTTTTTTTTACGGTCCTGCGTGCACTTGGGACAGAACCATTTGCCCTTTGGTTTTGTGGTTAGCCCCACGCAGGCAAAGTGGAACCACTCAATGGGACACTATTAAAGGGAGAGAACAAAAAACATAAGTAACTAAATAAAGCAATTAATGAGCAGCAAGCGTACGTCTGGATTGTCGCAGCCAATCATCTCGCCATAGGAGACTTGGTGACATAGGCAATACGTTGGCTCGTTCGGATCCACGGGCATATCCATGACATCGCTAGGATGTGTTGCGGCCGTGTGGCAAGATTCTTTCTCCGAGTCATCAATATCAGCCGTTTTCTGTTGCCAAACCGCAAACGGAAATGAAAGTTATTAATTGCTTACGTAAATGTCGAGCTCAGAAGGGATCATGCAAGAAGGTGAAATGTAAATGAAAGATGCAAAACCAATTAAACGGCCAAACACTGAATATAGTATATAACCACTATAAGGGGATATTGGAGGGGAACATACATAAGTGCAAGTACACGATCGTGTAGATTCTGCGGTTTTCTACTGTGTGGGCTACCAGGCACAAAAAATAACTATATACTTTTAGGGAAAGAGCAACAATCATAACAAGACGAAAATGCATAATGTTGATGAAGATGATTTACCTTTTGGGCGCCCCCCTTGCGAGTTTCTTTTTCTTGATTTACCTTGGTCTTTTTCTTTTTGCTACCTTGACCAGCGCTGCTGCTGGCATTGAGATTAGCCCCGCTGGCGCTGTTCGATTGATTGCCACGTCCGGTTTCCTCATCTGAGGAGGCTGGCTTTTTCTTTTTGCCCGTCGCCTTGCCGTCTTTGGTCTTTTTACGGCCTCCCTCTGCAAATAGTTGGCGAATAAGAAAATAAACATCAGCAAAATTTGTTTACGTACTTTTGGCTACTGCCTCCTCGGACTTGGCGCGCGTTGATGAAGCTTTTTCCTGAATTTCGCCCTCGAAGCGCGCCAAATCGTTGTCCAGCCTTCGGATTTGTTTATCCACAAGCTCATACGTTTGTATGGCCAGCTGTACTTTGTCATCGCTGTACTCCTTGGCCTTGCCAAACAGCGCCTTTATATCCTCCAATCGCTCCTTGCGCTCCTCTTCGCTCATCGCACCATTCTCAGCGGTTAGCTTACGCATAAAATCTTTTGCATGACTGTCAATGCTTTTCATCGCCGTTTGCGCCCGATCATCCAACTTTCTCATCAACTTGAAGTTCCTTTCCAGTTCAGTGGGCAGCGATTCCAATCCTAGTGAGAGACAAAATATAAGAACCCGCTACGACATTTGCTTTCTCTAATTTTGGATACCGTCTAAATAATTTTCCAAATATATAGCTGAAGACATTTTACTGGCTTTTCGAGAGGTTCTCTTTTTATTGTTTTAGCTACAGTTACAGTTTACTAACAAAAACCGAGCGTCTATTTATGACGTGCCATCAGCTGTTTTGCGTGTGTGCGTGTGTGCGCTCGAAGCAGCAATGTAACACTTCTTATCGATAGTTCCACGCTATCGAAAACTAGCGCCATCTTGCTCTTGTACTGAAACTAGTCAAATCTGAAACAGAATTCCAGTGATTACGTACGCATTAGTAATAGTATATATGGTAACCAGCAAAGATTTAAATAAGATCAATTAATTTTTTTTTTGATTAATAAGGAAAAATTGTAAATAATTTTAAGTAGCAGTTCATTTTTACTAGCATTTTAGCCGTTAACTTCGCACTCGATAACCTTTTGTCAATAAACACTTTACAACACAGAAAAATACAGCTGTTTTTTTGCGCTGGTCAACATTGTAGTCAGCAGCCCACCGAGTGAAGGAGACCGAAATGCAGGAAAATAGCACGAAATTTGGATAAAATATACGCTGAAAAATGTGCTATGGCGGCTTAAAAGATTAAAGAAAACGTCAGCTTTAGGCGGCAGCAGCATGTTTAAGAAATTGCGCAAAATGTTGCCTGTAATGCGTCCGGGGCACTGGCTCGTGTTTGCCGTCATCGTCGTCGTCACCTGTTATTGGTTGCTGGAGATTCGATTGGAGCACGGTTGGTTGTGGAATTCCCGTCTACTTCGGTTGCTTCAGACATAAACATAACATATTCTTGTATACATATAGCTTTTAAGCCCCTGTCGAAACTGACAGACAACGGCGGCAAGGAAACGGAGCATTCGTCTCTTGCTCGGAATATTCCCACTCTGGATAACTTTGACTATGAGGACCAACTGGTGGTGGTGTACAATCGTGTGCCAAAGACGGGCTCAACCAGTTTCGTGAACATAGCCTATGATCTGTGCAAGCAGAACAGATATCACGTCTTGCATATCAATGTGACTGCCAACATGCACGTCCTGTCGCTGCCAAATCAGGTCCGTTTCTCGGTTGTCGCCAACGATTTCGGCTCCAGGCTAAATATGAATTAATACCTTTTGTTTGCTTAGATCTCGTTTGTGCGAAACGTGACCACGTGGCATGAAATGAAGCCAGCCCTATATCATGGGCACATGGCGTTTCTGGACTTTTCAAAGTAGGTTTGCCATATTTCACATATGTTTGCTATTTATTAATTTATTATATATAATATATCTATTTGGCAGATTCCAGATCGCACACAAACCCATCTATATAAATCTGGTGCGTAAGCCATTGGATAGGCTTGTCTCCTATTATTATTTTCTGCGCTATGGGGACAATTATCGGCCGAATCTGGTGCGAAAAAAGGCAGGCAATAAAATAGTAAGTTGTCAAAAATAACATTTCAATGCAGTTATCATTATTGAGTTCCATGTTTTTAATGAAGACCTTCGATGAATGCGTGGTTCAAAAGCAACCCGACTGTGATCCCAGAAATATGTGGCTACAAATTCCGTTCTTTTGTGGCCACGCTGCCGAGTGCTGGGAACCCGGCAGCGACTGGGCCTTGAAACAGGCCAAGCACAATTTGGTTAATGAATATTTCCTAGTCGGTGTCACAGAGCAAATGTACGAATTTGTGGATCTTCTCGAGAGATCACTGCCCAGGTGAGTTTAAATCGATTATTGCTAATCGAGACGAGAACAACTCAAATTTTCTCTTTGGCACAGAATCTTCCAAGGCTTTCGCGAGCACTATCAAAACTCCAATAAATCTCATTTACGTGTGACCTCATCGAAGCTACCGCCCAGCGAATCTACTATACAAACCATACAAAGATCAAAGATTTGGCAAATGGAGAACGATTTGTATGAGTTTGCCCTGGAGCAGTTTGAATTTACCAGGAAAAAGCTAATGCAGCCCGATAATAAGCACTTGCAACAGTTTATGTACGAGAAAATTCGGCCAAAATGATCGTATTGGAAATTCAAGGGTTACAAGGGCAAACACAAAACCCGATATGGTAGATTAAAGCTCAAGGGTAGCCTTTAATATATCAGGTTATACATTTTTTATTTTATTTTATGTTTTTTTTTTGTTTTTTTCAATATTGTATATAGTTTATCTAGCTCTGATATGTACTTAAAATCAAGCAAACAACTCGTGAAAGACACTAAAGACTTTAGCATTGAATATCATTGACATATTAGTGATTTTTCGTAAGTAACGCTTATTTAGTTAGTTTAAGTCATGATATTAACACTTAAAACCGCTTTCTTAGAGTTATGTAAGCAATATTTAGTAACAATTGTAACGACTATTCAAAGCACAACGTATTTACATATGCGTCTAGTTAATTATACTCTGTATAAGTATTGACAATACCAGAAATTATGAATTCTTAAGCGATACGAAATATGTGCTGGCTCTGCGCATACAATTACCAACTAGTTTAGATACTTAGAATTTATATATAATGTTTAAGTGTAATTACATTATTGGACTCTCAAATGTATATCAGCTTTTAGCACTTGTAGCAGACGCAGACAAACTCATCAAGTCAAATACATGTAAATACATGTTCACCAAACGATTCTAACTTTTCTAATTGACGTGTGTCTCCATCAACATTTGTTCGTAAGTGTTTAGCTGCATGCAACTGGTTAATTGATTAGAACTGTCGATTGACTGTGTGTGTCAATATTTACCTGCACTTACACTTAAATAACTAAAAACATTTTTTTTTTTTGTTCTGAATTGTAAAAACTTTGTTTAAGTGAATTGCCCCTAAAACTGAGCAGCAGCTGGTGCGAAATTCCATTGAACTTTAAAAGCTGACGTAGCTTTGGCTGGTTTGACTGAAAGACTGCCGGGCGGGCGGGCTGGGTCTAGGCGCTCAGGCGAGGCACAAATGGAAATTGAATTCTTTTTCGGGCACACAAGTGAAATACTTAATTAATTGCTCACGGCTCGAACGTAAAGACAATGAGTTTGCATTATCGTCAGTTGTACATTTGAACGTAGACACGCAAGTCGTCGCTGGATCGTTCGACTCGGGCTCGACTCTTAGGCAGTTAATTATGAAATAGTGCTTTACGTTAAAACTATTTAAACAGAGTGCGAACACTTAGATTTCGAACCCAGGCAGCATTTATATTAAAGCGACGTGTTCGAGTCTTACAACGGGTTTTATATCATATATATAACACTATATATATAACACGTCTATGCATATATATATATATATACCATATATGAATCTTACTCAGACTCTTGATTAGTTTAATACGGGTTATGCGTAATGAGCGGGTTTGTGATTGAGCGTTCAAAAGTTCAACTATAATTACGTCTAGTGATTACACTGGGCTACAAAGGTAAGCGTATTAGTTTATAACAGTTTCACGAGCACGTATAACAATTGTGAAAATACCGATTGCTGCGATGTATAAAAAAGTATAAAACAGGCCGGCAAAAGTGTGTATTTGACATTGACCTTAACCCTGTGTCGTGTTTTTTGCATTTCTCCTTGATATAACAGCAGCAAAAACAAAGAACTTCGAAATTTCAACGTAAGCCACTGTATAACAGTTAACCAAGCATGTACTTTCCAACATGCTGACACTAGCCATAATAAATCACTTTGTGTTTTACTTTTCGATGTGTTTGTGTGTGCACACATACATATGTATGTATATTTATAGCATTTGTACATTACTTCTTAAATACCGCTCGCCATACCTCGATACACATACGACGCGGGTATAAAATTGTTGAATAAACAGCTTTATATTTTCAGTCTTAAAACGCGCTATTACTGGGCTAGACCTGACTTGAAAGCTTAGCCTGAGATACACAATTCAATTACATCAAAGGAAAACACAATCTAAGAATATCAAACTGAAATATTCTAAATAAACTGCGCCTGTATTCAATATTGGTAAGTTTATTTTTTCTCTACATTTGGATACTGTAACTGTTACTTAAGTTTCCTGATGCGCTGATGCGTGCGTTCTTTTCGCATTCTGTTTTGGCTGCGTTACTGGCGCCTTTCTCTTCTTGTTTCTTTTGTGCTTGTCCTTATGTCCAATGCAGAGCAGAAATGCAGTTCTCGCAACTCGTTGCCTTTGCACGCTTGCCAGCACTGCCAAGCTGTCATATGTGCTCGCTCTCTTTGTCTCTCTCTCTCTCTCTCTATTGCAATTACTTTCGGCGTCGACGTCGACTTCGAAACGGTTCTTTCTTGTAAACGGGCCATTGGAATCGTGTCGCTGCGTTTGAGGGAAACAAGCTTAAAGCAAACCGAGCAAAAAGCAAGCAAATTTTGCATGAAAAGTTCAATAAACGATTGACATTGACATACTTCCAAGCGATAAGTGAAGCTGTTCCTGCTCAAGTGCAGCGGCAAATGCATACATACATATCGCTGAACATTATTAATTCTTTAAATCAATATCGAGCGACGAACAAAACCGAATTGTGCATTTTTCGTTATGGCAACTGCAACAAGCTGCCTGCCTAGGACAACAGCTGCCGTCGCTTCGGTTGCCGCCTCCGATGCGGTCGCCATTGCTTCAGGTGAGAGATGTATGCACACATACAGACATACATACATATGTATGTATGTACATACACGCCTATTTGACTTTTGTAATACCTTTTTGGCACGTAAGGTTAAAGCACTTTTAAAAGCGGACTTGGGCTTGCCCTTGTCATGTACATAGTATTGTACCTTTGTTTTTTTTTTTTTTTTTTTTTATTTTCATTTTCGCCAAGACTTCTGACCTCAGAGTTGCTTGACATCTATCTTTACGATCAGCGCGCGAGTTGCTTGCCATGGTTTTCCCTCGTTTTTTCCATCTTTTTAATTTTCAAGTTTCTGCTTTTGAGTGTTGCAAAGAACCGGAAAAAAATAACCACTGACTGTACAATATTAAAAAAAAAAAACGTTTCCAAGGTGCTTGAAAACGTAGAATTCTTAAACGTTTCTACAATAATTGAGATGGGAATTTTTACACGAAATGCAAATTCTGCAGCGGAAGAACAGCTCGTTTTCTGCAATCAAACTAGATATTATAGACCACCTGCGATGCTTAATATTATATTGTTAAAAAACATATATGTTTATCGTATAGCCAAACTCTTTGCCACACATTGCTTCAATACATGTCAGCGAATAGAGAGAAACCTAGCTCGTTAGCTAATAAAATGGCATATAATAAAACGAGAGTTTTACACCTGAAAACTAATGAATGGAAGGTGCGATTCGAAGACCAGCCACGCACGTGTTGCCGTCGATTAGTCAAAAAAGCAGCCGAAACAACTTGTCCCATGCCCATGGCTGGGGTGTTGCCTGAAACGTGTCGGCCATACACGAGCAATGGCAATGTTGTCAAACAGGTGTAATTACTAGCTAATGTCTAATTGATGGGTATCACTCAAACTGGGCGCCTGGCATTGAACCGAAAGTGCAAAGCCTGAGGGTCGGGCTCTCAGACACAAGGCACACATACATCATACATGCATGCATATGTACATCGAATGTGCTGCTAACGGTAGCTGCATAAATTACCCAGATGCAACAACAACGGTATTAGCTGATCAACTGTAATAAAGCCCAGCTTCCAGTGGCATAATTTCCCAAAATGCATTTCAGTTTCTCTTACTCGCTCTTAACTCCAGCTCGCTCGCACTCGCACTCTCGCTCGCACGTGAATGTCATGCTCAAGATCAGCTTTCGGTCCGTCTGGCTCTCAGTCAGTTACCAGTTTTTGATTCTTGGCCTGGTATAAAATCATCATAACGCGCTTTTGGCCGCAACAGTTTCGTCTGCTCTTTCGGCTCCGTTGCACGCGTCGCCTGTTGCTCCGTCCGATTTTTGTTGTCGTTCCCAAAACAAGTTTTACGTTTTTGGTTTCGGTTTCAGTTTCAGTTAAAGTTTAAGTTGTGTTGTGTTTTGTTATGCTGTTGTGCTGAGTGTGTACTATATAAATTATACGATTATTTGGTTCAAAGCGAAGACACACACATTAACTATTCATAAGTTAATGCTGTGGCTACTCGTTTTGGGAATTGCCAAAACATTGGAATTTTGATCGTTTCGCAATTGATGCAAATATTTCCCGACCTATCTAATTGCGTAGAATTGAGAGTCTAAATATTTCCATACTTATTTTGTCTCTTCTCAATTGAATACATTCTATTTAAGTCTGCAATAGACAATCTATATTATCTACTAAACACTTTCTTCTCTCGATGTTGTTTCATAAAAATACTGACATCATTTTGCAAATAGGTTTGCTTGTATCAATATCTTTTTGTAATTAGAAACATTGAAAACTTGTTTTCAATACAAATTCAACTAGAACAAGTTGAATTCGAGAATCCAGCTCAAGATCTTCGTTGCAAATATCTTCAAGGCAACTGCATTCTAAAGTCAATGTTAGCGAGCGAATGAACTAAAAATACCCACAAAAGAAACTGTTATACAGCAGCCGTTATTGATTGTCGATTATTCGCGAAAAAGCGAATGTCAAGGTTAAGGTCAAGTTAACAAAGAAGAAATAACCGGATGCTTGGCAGCGAAACGAATCGGCCTGCATTGTTTTAAATGCAGTTTCAATGATCCGATTAGCAAGCCGGTTTATCAAATAATATAAAATCAATCGAAAACTAATAAAGTGCACAATCTGTTATACAGCAAACCAAATACTTGTGATCTTTAGCTCAACTACAAAAACAATTAAAAATATACAACAGCATATTAATTTCATAGAAAAAAAAAAAACGAAACTAAACAATAACAACATGAGTAAGTAATAATTACAGCGATCTTATATAATCAAATAATTGTTGAGCAAATAGTTAGTTGATTTTGTGAAGTCTCGCTGAGCTGGGCATCAAAGCGCACGCTTCTCGTTACGTGCACCACTAATTGAATTTGAATACTCACCTGTGGCACCTCACACGCCACGCTCCAACTTTTGTCTTACAGGAGTGCCCACCATGTTGTCGGACATCGATGCCCTGCCCTCGATCAAGCTGGGCGACTTTACGCTACAGTTCGAGCTGGGAGACGCGACCCCAACGGCCAAGGAGGTGGCCGAGCGGGAACTGCGCGAATCTCCCGAGCGTCAAAAGCAGGCGACACAGGAACTAAAGCGCTTGCTCGAGGGTAAGTCCTATCCAGAAGGGGTTTCTCCCAATGAACACAAGCTGATTTCGCCACATTCCCATCCGGCGTTTCTCAATATAAACGAGCTTTGGCGTACGGCATGTTAATCTCTTAAATATGTGTAGTTATTTCTGTCGTAGGAAAATTCCAGGAAATTCCAATTGGAAATAGAATTTATGCACTTTCAATGATTAAGTACAAAAAAAACAACAGCTATAAGCCTTAGTTTATGCATAAGCCTAGGATGCCAGCCCGGAACTTTGTTCGACTGAGTCACGTTTAGATGCAAACCTTACAAGATTCATTTTATATTATTTAAATATGTCTTCGCTACTCAGATTAAATTGATGACCTGTACTAAGAGAGTCAAGAGTATAGCATGTCGCTAATTATATAGTATAGCCCCTTTATTTAGTTTTCCAATTACGATGAGACCAAAGTCGACTTCTCCTGGCCTTCCAGACGACCCCTTCATTAGAGCAGCTATAATCGCAATAATCGGACAGGTGAACCTGCTGCCAACTATAAACAAGCTAGATGTATTTTTAAAACAGAGGCTAGACAGATATTTTTTTTTGATGGTCGCACTGATATAGTCGAAAAGGTTAACGAGATCAGCCTGGTGGCCATTAGCAGCCCGCTGTTGGACTCTGTTCAGCTACCGGTATAAAAAAATATATATCTTATTGACATGTAGCCGAGACGGATCTGTACTGTCCCAAGGACAATGAGGAGTGGCTGATACGCTTCCTGCGGCCGTGCAAGTATTATCCAGAGAGTGCGCGCGACTTGGTAAGTTGTTCATGCTTGGCGTAATAATTCCCATTAACTTGTGTGCACTTTAATTTACAGATCAAGCGCTATTACGCGTTCAAAGTGAAGCATTCGGATGTGTACAACAACTTGAAACCTACACGGGAGGCGAACATCTTTAAAAATAATATACTCACCGTGTTTCCCAATCGCGATCAGCTCGGACGCCGCATCTTGTTACTCGAGCTGGGCAGTAAGTGGACTCAAGTTGCGGACAGCGTAATGACTACGACTTTTTAATCTCTGTAATTTCCTGCAATTAGAACGCTGGAAGCACAAGCAGGTCACGCTTGATGAAGTCTTCAAGGGTGCCGTCATATTTCTGGAGGCCGCCATGCTGGAGCCAGAGACGCAAATCAATGGGGCCGTTGTCATTTTCGACATGGACGGACTTAGTCTGCAGCAGACCTGGCAGTTTACGCCGCCGTTTGCCAAGCGCATCGTGGACTGGCTGCAGGAGTCTGTGCCGCTGCGCGTCAAGGCCATTCACATTGTGAACCAGCCGAAGATTTTCAATGTAGTTTTTGCGCTCTTCAAGCCCTTCCTGCGAGAGAAACTGCGCAGTCGCATCATCTTCCATGGCACCGATCGCGACTCTCTGCACAAATATATGTCGCCAAAGTGCCTGCCATCGTGCTATGGAGGCATCCTGGAGCTGCCCCGCATCGACGGCGATCAATGGTATGAGCTGTTGCTCATGTGCGATGCGGAGTACGAGGCCATCAACTCGTACGGCTACAAGAAGAAATGAGTGAGTGGGACCCAGCGACCCGGCAATATGTACAGCAAGTGATATTCCCTCGTATACCCGAAACTCAATTAGTTTGCATTAAGCATAATATCTGTTATACGCTTGTCCAGCCAACGCTTGCGATAGTAGTTTCGTAGTGCTAGAGCCAAGAAGTTTGCCTTAGTCTTAAGCGATCGTTTCGATCAAATCTGGCAGTAAGTGTTATGCTAACAGAATAATCCACTTTATATATTTAAATGGGGGTAAGCGTAGTTATAGTCTGTTATTACGTTACACTATTACTTACATTGTTAAAATACATATATATATATAAATACATATATTAAAAGTTGAAAAGTTAATGAAACACTCGGATATTCCACATAATTCACTTTATTTGTAGAGTTTATTCATTCAAATACGTTACAATTAAGTTTTTATATAGATAGATTACCTATATTTTCTTTAATATAGGTAAGATTTTAAGTGGTAGAAATACCGTTATACAAAGCAAGTCATATTGTTTTAAAAATATTTAATTAATAGCCACCATTGATGTCGTCCATATCTTTTTGGTGGGAGATTATCTGTTTCAAGCACAAGTCATTTAAAGCTACTTTTTTATAACGTGTATAACAGTGAGACATACAAAAAATATTTGTATAATAGCTTAGGGTGTAAAAACAATATTGTTATCTAAGGCTCTATGGTCAAGTTAACTCGTCCACTCGCAAGGCACAATTTTTATACACAGCTTGTCGTGTACCGTGTCATAAGTCAAACTGTAATACATTACCTGATTTCAACTGTTATACTGCATCTGACTCGTAACACGTTACTCGTTATTCGTTACACGCTACTCGTTATTCACTGCCCTCTTGTCATAAGTCAAAGTGTAATACGTATTAAACTGTTATACGCATCTGCCTCGTGACACGTCACTCACTACTCGTTATTCACTATTCTCTTGTCTTGACTCCTAGCACGTTACTCGCCACTCGCTACTCGTTGCTTGTTACTCGCTACTCTTTATTCACTGCCCTCTTGTCATAAGTCAAACAGTAATACATTACCTCATTTCATTATCAAACTGTTATACGCATCTGCCTCGTGACACGTTACTCGCTACTCGTTATTCGTTACACGCTACTCGTTATTCACTGCCCTCTTGTCATAAGTCAAAGTGTAATACGTATTAAACTGTTATACGCATCTGCCTCGTGACACGTCACTCACTACTCGTTATTCACTATTCTCTTGTCTTGACTCCTAGCACGTTACTCGCCACTCGCTACTCGTTGCTTGTTACTCGCTACTCTTTATTCACTGCCCTCTTGTCATAAGTCAAACAGTAATACATTACCTCATTTCATTATCAAACTGTTATACGCATCTGCCTCGTGACACGTTACTCGCTACTCGTTATTCGTTACACGCTACTCGTTATTCACTGCCCTCTTGTCATAAGTCAAACTGTAATACGTATGAAACTGTTATAAGCATCTGACTCGTAACACGTTACTCGCCACTCGCTACTCGTTGTTCGTTGCTCCCTACTCGCTACCGTCTTAATCTCGAATTGTATCTTGTACATTTTGCTGCATGTGTATTTGGTCTGTGCTGGAATACTCTTACCAACTGTCACCCACTTGGCTGGAATGTACTGAATGCCTCTGGCTAAGCAGTAAAAAAAAAAAAACAAAAATAAACGTAGCCATACTCCCCACATCCCGCTCATAGTCGGTAATTGGTCGCTGGCGCCTTTGGCGAACTGCGCGATTGGCCAAACAAATGGCGCGACATGGCGGAGGGCGAATGCATGGCCGCATCCGCCATTTGCCCATCATCGTCAGCCTCGTTGACGACATCGTCTGCCTTGCTCCTCGTCCCACCGCCGCCGCCGCCGCCGCCGGTGCAGCACTGGCGACGATGCATCAGTTGAATGGGCTGCGTTAGGTCGATGGTGTCGCCAAGCTGGCGCTGTTCCGCCTCGGCGACGCACTCCATGCGCCGCCACTGGCGCAGGGCGAGCACAAAGGCGTCCGAGACATTTGTCGCCGTCTTCGAGGAGGTCTCAATGTGTGCGCCAATGCCGTACTCCGTGCACCACTGCTGCACATCCTCGTAGCTCACTTGTCGCTTCTCCGGCCGCAGATCGTTCTGTGAATGATGCGACATTGGAACATGCTCCAGCATTTACATGCCGCCCAGCTGCTCACCTTGTTGCCCACGACAATGAACGGGAACCTGTCGGCCTTCACGTCCGCATAGTTGAGGAACTCGTTCCGCCACAGCCGCAGCCCGCGCAGGCTGTCCCGATCGTCCAGTGCATAGCACAGCAGGCACATGTCCGAGCCGCGATAGAAGGGTGTGCGCAGGGCGCGAAACCGTTCCTGTCCAGCCGTGTCCCATATCTGAAAGCACAGAGCAGGCATTATAATTCGACAATAAACCTTGATTGGCATTCAATTAAAGGTCCATTCAAAATTTGCATGCGCTGATTGCGCAGCTCGGGTCGACAAAAGATAGCACAAAGTTGCGTCACACTTTGTGCATTAGCACCTCCCCCCCCATTAGTCCCCCCTCTGACTAATAACAATGTGCTGATAAGAAAGTAAGACAAGTTCGAGGCAAAAGCCCTATAAATAGTATTAACATAAAAGTGTGTTATCGAACGGAAAAACAGTTGCATACAGGAAATTAGCTATTTTTCTTTCTCAATCGCAAAAACTATTTCAAAGCAAGAAATTTGTCATCAGACCAATTTATGAAAATCTCAATAGCTTAAAGTGAATATCAGTAGAAGAAATGTTTAGCTAAAACCTTTGTGCTTGCACTTTATCTGTAATCATAAATAATTTCTCATTATTTTCAAATTTAAATGTTCTAACCAGGCAATGTTCTGATTCGATTGCGGTTGGTCCAACTAACAGCGCTTAATACTTGGTTGGAAAACGGTTTGCAGCGTTGATGCGAACATTTATCAAAAAGGTATGCAGAAAATATAAGCATTTCATCAATCAATCAGTTTTATCTGTTTGTTAAACAAATATTGGCATTGCTCTCGATGCATATTAAAAAAGGAATTCGCTTGAAATTTAAATGCATACAAAGAAAACGCAGCTAGGTTATTACCACTTTGACTGTTCCCACTATGCTTGTTTCCACTTTGACTGTACCCACTATTTATGTATATGTAACTCGTTCTACACAGGAAGCGGCGCACTTCTTCAGTTCAGTCCAAGCTCAGCGAAGCGTTAAAAAAAAAACACTTCTGCTGGCTATTTTTTTCGGTTAGCTGAGGCTAGTTCAAAGATTGCAGAATAGTGGGAAAAGCACAGCTTTGTTTTGTGTGCACAACTTGACAATTACTGGTGACGGTTACTCAGCCGCAAAAGATCCATTGGCATTCGTATTGATTTGCGCAATTATAATGAATTATTCGAATAATTGAAATAACGCTTTGCGCCAGTTTGTTTACTCATCTCGGAGCACAAACTACCCCTAGTTGCATATTTATAAGCTACGCAAGTTGTCGGACTGTGAAAATGTGCATTCAAATGGGAAATGACAGCATAAATAAAGTGCATTGTTAACAAAACAAGGGACCCCCTGCCCCTCCGCTCCACTCTTGCCCGACGGAAATGAAAAGACTTTAAGAAACGCAAGAGAAGCGCGTTTGGAATTTATATGAAGGGTTTTCTAGACGATATATGCATATTTGTAAATGTGTGTGTGTGTGTGTGGAGGGGTAGGGGCCAGCACGCACAAATATACATAACAAATTACAGAAATGAAACAAAGTCGCCGCATTGTATTGGATTCTGCCATGCTAAACTGTACGTTAATTAAGTGTGCGAGTGTGTGTGTGTGTGTCTGTGTGAGGGCAAATAGAATAGCTACTGAGACAGATAATAAGCACGACGCTCAAATGTCAGCGGATCTCGCTGTGCACAAACAACGTGAGCAGCGTAAAAAAATGCCGGTGAAAAGTTTTTAAGCAATTGGTCCAATTGGCATGCAGATGGTGCGAACCGGAACTGAACCGAGCTCACGATTTGGCCCATTCTGACTCATCGAACCAAACCACAAGTTCCACCCCCACACCGTACCAACAGACAAACTAACCTGTAGTGTGTACTTTTCGCCGTCTACAGCGATGTCCTTGTTCATGAACTCCACGCCAATCGTATGGAAATTGTTTTCCTCGTAACGATTCGAGACGAAGCGCGTGAGGAGCGCCGACTTGCCCACACCCCCGTCGCCGAGTATGATGACCTTCAGTAGTTTGGATTTCTGCGGTGGGCGCATGTTTGTCATATTTACTGTACGTTGCGTCTCGGTAACAAAAACAAAAACAAGGTACAAGTTTATTTTTATTTGCTTTTTTTTTTGTTTTACACAAATATCATAGGCAACGCTTAGAATGCACTATCAATCACTTCAACCAATTACATGCACTTTTATAATTATGAGTATTAACGTGCAATTTAAAAAGCCAAACAATTAAACCACACAAAATTGAACACTCAACGCAAACGCGCCGCGTCGCAACCTATTGGACCAACAGTCAGCTGTCAAATGATTTGGTGAGCGGCAGACAATGTGTTAACGGAACTAGTGTGCTGTTGAAAATGTAAACAAATGTTATGATATGGTTATGTTATGTTAAAGACGAAAACTATGTAAGCAAGAAAATGATGTTAAAGGGATTTTAAGTGAAAATGTTTTGAAAATATTCAAGACTTATCGCATATTAGAAAGAGTGATTTGGCAGGTCATGTCATCTGCAAGCCCATTTTCCATTAGATAAACAAACATTTTTTAATGTACTTTAACATGATTTGATTTATAAAAATCGATATCAAAGGGGTTTTTGACAAAAAATGTTTTCGCTAGCTCAAATTACAATATTTTAAGTATAATTTATTGGGTCTTTCTAAAAACTGACATATGTAAGTCTATCAAGCCTTAATTATTTAAAAAATATTGCTAGGAAAGATCTCTCAGCTTAATGCACCCAAGCAGAGAGCAGGGTTCGCCTTTTATCAATATCAAAAATAAATAATTTTATATATGCTGTCTATATTATTATCTCCTTCTTCACCTATCTGAAGAATCAATAAGCGATAAGGTATCCATCGATTTAATGTCAAGCATATCGTTCTTGGTAGTAATAAAAGGTGGCGTGGGATTCAGCCTTTGATAACTGCAATGGGTCGCATTTTGATGCACTTCTTGCTGATGCCGGCCGCGTGGCAGGTGTCCACGACGTCGGTGACATCCTTGTACGCTTCGGGTGCTTCCTCCATGACTAGTTTGGGGCTGGCTACGCGTATGGCAATGCCAATTTGCTCCAGTTTGTCCAGCACCTCCTTGTAGTCCAGGTTGCGACGCGACTTGGCGCGTGATAGAGCCCGACCCTGTTACACATAATAATCACATTTATTATGATTTCTTATTGGAATTCTGATTCTACGTACCGCACCGTGGCAGGTGCTGCCAAAGGTTTCCTGCATGCCGCGCTCGGTGCCGGTCAAGACGTAGCTGCAGGTGCCCATTGTGCCGCCGACCAGAACCGGTTGCCCGGTCAACTGATAGTCGACTGGTATCAATGGATGATGTGGCGGGAAGGCGCGCGTGGAGCCCTTGCGATGCACCAGCAGCTTTCGCTCCCGGCCGTCGACAATGTGATTCTCCACCTTGGCAATGTTGTGCGAAACATCGTAGATGACGTGCATGTCCAGATCATCGGGCGTTGTGTTGAACATCTTGGCAAATGCCTGACGCGTAAGGAAGGTCATCGAGCTGCGATTCACCCAGGCAAAATTGGCCGCCGCAGCCATGGCCTTTAAGTAATCCTGGCCTTCGACGGAATTGATGCGCGCACAGGCCAATTGGCGATCGTTGGTTTCGATCTTGTCGCGCTTCATGGCCTTCTCCATTTGCACCAGGGCGTCGGTGGCCACCTGATGACCAAAGCCGCGACTGCCCGAGTGTATCATGACGACCACCTGACCCTTCTCCTCTATGCCCATTTTGGAGGCGCTCCACTTGTCATAGATTTCGTCGACCACTTGTATTTCGGCATAGTGATTGCCAGCGCCCAGGGTGCCCAGCTGAGGTAGGCCACGCTTCTTGGCGCGCATGCTCACCTTGGCCGGATCGGCGCTGAGCATTCGCCCATACTCCTCGCAATGCTCCTTGTCCTCTGCCCAGACGTAGCCCTCGCGCAAAGACCAGTCCATGCCCATCTCAAGTGCTTCCTCCAGATCGCGGGCATTCATTGGTATAATGCCTTTAGAGCCCACGCCCACTGGTATATGATCGAATAGCGACTGAGCCAGCTGCTCCTTAACCGGCTGCACATCCTTCTCGTACAGATTCGTGCGCAGCAGACGCACGCCACAATTGATGTCGAAACCAACGCCGCCAGGGCTGACTACCGACAGCGGGTCATCCATATCGAAAGCAGCCATGTTGCCAATGGCAAAGCCATAGCCCGAGTGGATGTCCGGCAGTCCAATTGAGCGGCCCACAATGCCCGGCAAAGCGGCCACATTTGCGATCTGCTTGACGCCCGGTAGAAAGCCGCCGACAGCGCCGGGGCGGCATGAGTTTTTCAGCTCCTCCAGCATAAGCTTCTCCAGGCGGCTGTTCACGTAGAAGACACCTTCAACGTTCATGTTGGGCTGAAAGCCCTTCTTGATGCGCCAGCAGTGGTCATTTATCTTCTCCAGATACTTCAGCTCCTCGACGTAGGGTCGGACGACCATTTTCAGTAGTACGTGCGCAACGTTTTGTTAAATCTATTGCGCCACTTGATTGATTTTACGCTTATAATTGCCCAATTTACAACTATTTCGCCAGAATTTGCAATGCAGCTGCAAATTGCCGGTAAATGACACTTTAGTCTATAGCATCAACAGCTGGGGGCACCCACAAAAGTTAACATTTTCGCATATGTTATGTTAATGTTATCGATGTTATCGACCGCCACCACAATTTATTGAGCCTGTTATAATTTTAATGCAATCGATAAGCCGTGACAATTTGTCAACAAATGTATCTAGTTTTAATTAAATATTAGTGAAAATATCCAATGTTTCTAGCAACAGGTGGTCCGTACACATCTACATGATTGCTCTGGTATACAACAATGCTTAAGAACGGATACCTTTGATTGACCGAGGCGACATCAAACAGTTCTGTGCCCACCAACCAATTCACTTTAAGCAGCTGCATCCGACCAAGCAACGACTGCTCCAGTCCAGCTGCATCCCTGTTGGAGAGAGACAGCGTCCTTAATTTCGTTGCTGACCGTAAAAGCAGCGTCAACTGACTTGGCTCCGCCACATCGCAACGGCTGAGATCCAGTTCGAGCAGAAAGGGAGCCACCAGCGAAATCACTTTTAAATAGTCGCTTGCAATGTTGGCATGTTGTATTTTGAGTGCCCTTAGACGAGCCGCCTCTGCTGCGCCCGCGCACAGGGGATGCAGCAGGGCCAGCACACTGTCCGAGCGCACGGAATAGCCCACATTAATGTTGATACTCTGCAGGTGTCGGCCAAGTGCTAGTAACTGGTTTGCGTCATATTGAGGTGGAAACCGCATGCTGAACTCAAAGTGGCGAAATCTGTGCAGCTGCCGATCGATGGCAGCGTCGATAACAGAATGAACTTTGCCAAAAAGCGGTATCAGCTGCTCCAATGCAAGATACTGGAAAATATTGTCCAAGCAATCATCGTTCAAGATCAGCAACGACGTGCCATATGCTTCCATAGTGGCTGCCGACTGGAACGAGCAATTGAAAACGATTTAAAAATGGCGCGCAAGTTATCGATAAACAGGTCAGCTGTTCGACCGTGTGTTTGTGTGCGTGTGTATGTAGTGTTTATGTCTGCGCTGTCTACGTGTTTGTGGTCGATGCCGCTCCAAAATTAAAGTGAATCATATAAAACTCGTCTCCAACTTACGCGACACTCGCGAGCAGCGCTCACTGCCATTTCAGCAAAAATATTTTCAATTCCAAACGCGAACGCGACGGATAAAACTTCGACCAGTCGCTGTCGACTCTAAACTGCGGTGTGTTTGTTGTTGTTATTGTTGTGTGTCGTACAGGAAAAAACTGTTTGCGTGGATCAAAAACTTAAGTCAATTAACTACGTTTGTGTCTGACCCTAAGTATATCAATTGGAAATATAAATTGTACATATATATGTTTGATAACTGTCTGTATAAGGCGTGGCACTTGTGAAAGTCTGTGTTAGTCGCTTGGCCCAATTGGAGATTTCATCACACAAACAACACACACGGAGAGAGAGGCGTACATATTACCTGAACTAGAACAGCAGCGAGGCAAGGGAAACAGCGCAATGGATGATTTAGGTAAGTGTGCGGACCAACAAACGCAAATACTTCCCGTTTGTACGAACACCCTGTATTTGTTGCTGCTGCTCCTACTACTTCAAGGTCAATTCTCGTTGGCGGCATGAGCATACATAGCTAATTAGCATTCCAACCTTTTTAGTAGTTGCAGGCATGGACGGTAGATGGCGTTTGAATAATTCATTGAATTTCTCTGTCATCTCTAAATAAGTCTTTATCTGGTTTTGCTAATCTGTACCTATGTACCTATTGTACCAAATCTACTCTCATTGACAAATACATATGTATGTACATACGTGTATGTATACAAAACTATAAGTTTATGTATTTTGTATGTTTATAGAACTCTAATCTTATCGCAGCTTATACTTTGTATCCTCGCAATTGTGAATTTTTCGTGAATTTATGATTTATACACATTCCTGGAAATCTGCCGCTGAGCGTCGTTGCCGACGCTGCATCATTCACACTTGAAAATATGATTAATATTGAGTGTTGGGAAACGTGGTACTGTAAATGATCTGGGTTCGTTGGGTCGATGCAAGCTTTTAACTGGGCTCGCCATTTATTTGTTTGTTTTTATTTCCACACACACACACACGCACACACAGACACTCAAACACACTTTTAGTCATCATCAGCAGAACTTCGTGTATCGTCTTGTTCGCAGCTGCCCTTGTTGTTGCTATTCTTACTTCTTACTTTATTTTCTTTATGACACAATTTCTCGGCTGTTTACTGCCTGTTGCGCTTGTTGTAAATGTCTTTTGATAAACACACACACACACACTCACAGACACACACACACACACACACACACACACGAGTGGAGACATTCCTAAGAGTTGAGTAAAGGCCATACTCATACTCACTGGAAGGAAAATCGAATAAGTTGACAGCTCGCTGCAACTTTAAAGTTTAAATGCAGCTGACTGCGCTCTGCCCACGCACAGTGGTGCACTTACCCGCAAAATGAAAGCACAAATTCCTCTGTTCTGTCTAGTCTGTATTGTGAGTGAAGTGTGCCCACTTTATTGATAGCACCCGTCAGAGAGTCTGCCCACTTGGCACACGCAACGTCCGGAGTCGTGTTGCGTGTGCAGCAAAGCTGTTGATGTGTCTGTTCGATGATGCTTGCACATGATATTGCAACTCATCACAGTGGAATTAGAATAATATTTTTGCTAAGCGCGTAAAAGTAAGTTGACATAGACATGAACTAAAAATAGAAGCCGTATAATAATATATGTACATACATATATTATGAGAGACAATGACAGGTCACAGATCAGTTTGTCAAGATTCTACATTTGATTCCACATACGTGTTTGTGTTCGAATGCGCTCTTTAATCCACTGTGAGTGCAAAGCGTTTGACAAACTTCGTTCGTTCGCTTTGTTGCTAATTCCGTATTTTTGCGTTTGCCTCTCACTTGCGGCTTTCGCTTTGCGGCTTTGCGGCTTTGTTGCTGCTGTCGCCGCAACCTCATCATCACGACTTGCAGCAACCGCAGCCAGACGGACGCTGGCAGAGCGTCCCGCCAAGCGAGTCAAATGAAATGAGCAACTTTTCGTTTGTTTATTCTCTCTCTTGTTCTCTTCGCGGACTCTCTGCGTAGCTGCGCGCAGCGCTCGTGAGAGCAGCGCTGCGTTTGCTTTGAATGGAGCTCCATCGCTGCTGCGTTCGAGGTTCCATTTCATGTTCCGTTATACGTGCACAAGCGCCAAGTTCTATTTCAGTCGTTTGCTTAGACACGACACGACGCGACGCGATGTGCGCTGCTCATTCGGTCTCACTCGGATTTGGCGTACGCAATGAAGAATAACAAAATATGAGGAATTTGGACAAAGTGCAGTTAAAAGTTCAACAAACAACAAAAAAACAAACATACACACACAAAGTAAAGTACCGTACAATCGGGCAATCGATAACGGCAAAAAAGTGCCGCCAACAAGTTAATCAATCGATCAAGTTCTCAATGTGCAACAAAATACGCTCAAAACACATTCGAACAGCACAAAAAGTCAATGAAAAATCGCTGTGGCAGCAGGTAGCGTGTAGCGTGTAGCGTGGGAAAATTGTTTACCTAGGCTAAAGTCTTTTGAGGCAATAGTAGATAAAATTTACTATTTGTGCTCAAATAGAGATAATAAAATTAAAGTATTACCGAGATAAACCAAAGCTGCGATAAGACAGGCATTCCAGTAGGCCAACTGATAACACACGAAAACATCAGGCGGGGGCGCAAATATTTTTGGCTAAAAGATTCATGCTTTCACTGTCACAAAGCCAAATCCACAAAAACATTTTGGCCAAAATCTTTTTAGAATTTTGATTTAAACTAATTAAGCAGCTAATTCTTAAATCGAATAAACAACTTAATCAAGAACAAGTTGACAAACGAGTCATATGCCTAAATGTGACAGGAGCTGTGAAATTTTGGTAACGCCATTAATTTTAGACGTTCGCGACAAGCGGATTATAAGCGCTATTCAAAATTGAGACTAACTCGTGGGCGTTAAGGAGGGAAATTCGGTTTGATCAGGTCTCTGGCTGAAAAGTGAAAAGAGAGCCAGAAACATGTTCGGAAGGCCGAAGATTGAATATACTTGCGGAATGTAAACACGAAGGCGCCATTTTTAAATTATGGCTTCCATTACAGTTATATAACACAGCTATATAGTACTGTTATATAATACTGTTATACGCATAAATGTAAATACTGAAAGATGGCTTTAAAACGGAGCAGTTAGATAGATATTGCTCGAGGGTCGGAGATAAACAAAATAGCAACAATAATAATTGAATGTACGACATTTTGAACCACTTGAAATATAACGTAAACAGCGCTTCTCGCATTACGAAAGTGCTTCAATATATTGTTATATTGATGAATTGAAATGTTTATTGAAACTGCGGCTCATCCAGCATTGCATTCACGAAGTGCACTTATGAGAATTGCTCTCGATTGGCCGCCAAAACGAATTTCAATTAGTCAAACATTCGTTTGTTTGTTTCTCTCCATGCAGCCCTTGTAGGGCCACGCCCTTTTCGCATCGAGGGCTGCGCCCACACACAAACGGGTTTTCACTCCAAATGTCGCAGATCAAATGTTTGTTCGAATACTCAACGAAACAGAAGAGAAGTTAGCACCTCCCCCCTCCCCCTAACCCTCTCTTCCGCACCCGCTGTTCGTGTTGCAATGAGTTCATCGTTCAATTTGTTAGCGTAGTTCGAGTAGAGCAAGTACTCGTTCTCAATCAGCGAATAGATTCTTATCTCCAAGTGCCGACTCATCAAATTTCAATAAGTGTGCGTTGTTTCCCAGCACTCTGTCGTTCGATTCGATGTACTTTATCTTTGCAGGCTTCATGCTAGGGATGTTCGAGTCATATGGATACTCAAAGTGAATCCAGAAACATATTCGGAATTGAAATGAATGTATTTACGGGTCGTAGAAAGGCCCGGATAGATGATACACATGCATGTTAATTTTCCTCGGCGTTTTCACCTTTGGCGTCTGCGGCAAGGTCAGCCAGACAGACGCCTTTACACAGAACTTTTATGTACTTACCAATAAAATATTCAAATATTTATAGAGAGATCTTGCGTTCGGCCGAGGCGTCGGTCAACAAGAGTCCAAGTCCATCGAGCACTGGCCGTTAGTCTGCTTGGAATTTCCTGCGTCGAAAAGGCAAAGAAAATAAAACTACGACAAGCCGAAGAGTTAATACTCTTGCAGAATTTAAGCGTTAGAAGCGATCCGATACGTAAGCTTTACAACGATTGTGTCCAAATAGTTGGTCCTAATCTAAGCTCATAATTGCCGGGATTACTTAAGAAGTTTTAGCCCAACGACTCTTCATTTCTATGGAAACTATATGATATAGTGCTACGATATTTATAGGATTTTCGGAGCTGAGTATATAGAAAACCTAGCTCCTAGCTCAGAGTTGCCAGGCTATGTTAAGAGCTAGCGTAAAGATAAAAGAAAATTGTTTACCCATCAACTCATAATTTCGATTGGAACTATATGATATAGTGTTCCGATATTAATAGGCCTTGACTCAGGTTTTTATAGCTAAATGATATATAAATATAGATCTAGCTAAATGATATAGTGCGCTGATCTGTCCGTCAGCTACTCTGAGAGACTAGACTAGACAGAGAGAATCGAAGATTGATCGATGGCATATATATGTACTCCAGGGATTCGGAGATGGGTTACAAAATGCGAGCCAAAGCTAAGATACCTCTAGAAGCTTAGGCAAATCTATCGCGCCTTTGACTTTTAAATTTAGAACTGGCAAACACAATCGTTTGTTTTTTTGCTTTTGTTTTTGTTGTTTCGCTTGTGGCTGAGCGACGTCATCGCGACCTGCCCTGAGAGATCTGGAAAAGGCTCCCCGGGAGCCTAGGGCAGATGCTCGGCTACCTTTTTGGCAGTGCACTGCGGAAATGTATTTCGATTTTTTTTTATTTCATTTACCAATTTGTTGCTTCTTTAGTTAGTTGATTTTGTTTGCGACGGTGCAAAAACGTCGCCTTTGATTTGCGAGAAATTTGTATTTTTAGCTCTCGATCAGGGTGTTGACGTAATTTGGCAACCTTGATTCCCCGCTAGCATCCATTCCAACAACAACAACAACAACAACAACAACATGCTATAAACCTGCTGCTGCGTTCGGCCTTTTTTTTTTAGATCTCTAATTTATGTTTATTATTTGTTACCTTTTCCAATGTGTCGTTATTTGTTTAGACACATGTTAGCTCGGAATTTCTTTATGGTTCATAAATCTGGCACTCGGATCACCATGATGCCAATGTCCCAACATCTCTAATGTCCGTGGGTGAACATAAATTGTCCGAGTCTCATATATCAGCTATGATTGCATTTTCGGCAATCCCACACACTCAATCTAGGCGCTCGACTTTAAGTCTAGCATTTTGTTAGCTTTCATATTTATGCAGACCGAGTACCCGGGCACTTGCTCTAATCGAATTAACTCAAACATCAATCATTATTATTCATTAGACATCATTCATTAATGATTATTAATGAGATATTGTTCATCAAAGAAGTCTGTGTGTTAATCCATTTCTACTTGGCACCAAAATCAACTTTCGACTCTGTAAATTATATATTTTATAGAATTTTAGATTGTGTTCGATTCTGACTTATGAATAAATATTAAAGGCAAATATGAATGTTTAATAATTTGCATTAGCTTAATTATCATTTGGGCAATGTTCTATTTGAAACCCTTGTGGCATGATCATTAGGTCGATGGAAGGAGGGAGGGGGGCTCGGGTGGGTGGGCTCTGGGACAAAAGTATGACAGACAAACGGATACCGAATGACAGGCGAGAACTCAACACAAACAAAGCGACAAATCCGTCGACGGCCAAAAATAAAAATGCGCTTATAAATAATTTTTTAAGAAAACCAAAAGAAAAAAAAGTTCGTCTGGGGGGAAAGAAAAAAAAAACACGCTCGCTACAAAGCTTTTAAATAAATCAGCCAAATGCAGCGAACGGAGTTGAAATTCTGCTTTTGCGGATTTATTGCCATACGATTTTTGATTGACTTTTTAATGCAGCTAAATATCAAAGTGTTGCACAAATATGGATAGAACAATGTACGGAAAAATCGATCCCGGAGCGCGACAACCCTATCGCACGGTGCGCAGCAAGGGCATCCAGCCGGGCTGTAAGTATTCCCAACAGACCAAGCTAATACGACTCACACACAAAATGAAAGGGCATCTCGCATTGGGCATCGTTCATTTGAAATGTGCTGCCCGACATCCAGAGCTGGATGCAGTGCTCCACGCCGCCAATATTGTCCGGCTGGCCGGCGGACCAGCGCAAGAACTGGGCATTCGTGCCGGTCGCCTGTGATGCGTATACGCCCGTTTCGGCCAGGTCATATAGTGACAGCCAGTAGCTCTGCGCCGGATGCAGTTGTCGGCTAAGCGCCTGCAGCTCCTCCTCGCTCGCCAGGTTCACCAGAAAACCGCCAAGCTGGCGGCAAATGTTGCTCGCCCGGAACCAATTGACCCGTAACGTTTCCTCAATGTGGTAGAACTTGTCGCCGATAGCAGTGAAATTCTGCAAAGTGCGTTTCTCGAGAACTGCTGAAATAGTTTGTTTTCTTCTGTTAGTGGGCTTGCTATTAGGTATTAGGTGGTCACCTGCCTGCCGGGCTACCTGTGCCAATGGGCGTGGCTGCGCAGCCGATGGCCCACAATAACGGTAGGAGCAAGTATCTAAGACTTATTTTCATGTCGAACGGCAATTTGTGACTGTCTCTACATGCGCTGTGCTTGATAAGCGCACAAATATGATGGTATTATTGATAATAAAAAAGTCCAGGAAGCTTATTCAGTCAAATACAGTGATCACTCGCAAAAAAGAACCTTCAGAAATAACAATTTGCACTGAGTTTAATATAAACATATTTACCTATATTCAATTGCTGTATCGAAAAAAAGGGCTTTTAGAGCTTAATGAAAATATCTTGCAAATTAGCTTCTGCACAGCGTTCTCGTTAGCGAGTGCTCACTGTATCGACAACGAGCATCGACAAGCGCGCTACTTCATCGATAAGTTTTGCAATTTTCGGGGCATCCCACAAGTATGATAACACTGGACAAGGCGCAAACAAGTTGACACATTGTAGTCGGGTGTGACTGACTGCATTATACTCTGTCCAAAGTCCAAACTAAAACTCTAACTTTGGCAATAGGAAAGAGAGTTTCAGTTTTCGAGACGGACTAGACAATGTTGAAAACCAATATACTCTTGCGAATAGATCTAAGCATAGGGCATCTTTTAACGCAAGCTATTTTCGAAGTGCTAAGCGCCATCTATGTCTTGTTTTCAGAAGTCGCAAATCGTTTGCATAACGTTGCATACTTTTGGGCTTTGGCCAAAACAAAAATCTATAAATTGTCGTGCCTAAAAGTTAAGAGAAATACGTTTTTGACAATTTTAGTTACAGTTTTAACAAATTAAAAAAATATATAAAAAAGTTTTATTTAATAAATTGAAAAAATTATATATTTGGAAAGCTGGAAATTAAATTGTGGCTCACTATTTGCAGATATCCAAAGAAATCTGTAAAAACATAAAAGTTGCCAACTATGAGATACATATATATATATATATATCGGGTATATATCGACTTAATGCCAATATATGTTCTCTTTGACTAAATTTGATTTTTAGAGATAGATGTTTCTTGTGATTAGATCATGCGGATGTTAAGTCATCTTTTGAAAATAAAAAAAAAAAATTAACTTGCACAATTTTAAACAAAACTTAGAAAATGTAGTTCTTCTTGCACAAAACTCTATGCAATCACAGTGTAAACAATTGTAGCCCAACAAATACTTTGTGACGTAACACACACAAAGATCGGCAGTCTTAATGATATGCTGCTTATACCCTGCAAACACTCAAAAAAAAAAAAGCAGGGTATTAGCAAAGCATGCAAATGCATTTATCCGAAACTCTAATATGCAAATGTATTATATAATTTATTTCGCAAAAAAAATATAGTTTACGTGGTAACTGCTGGTCGTTACCTGCCCGTTAAAGCGCTGAGCACAAAACAAGTAAACATTGTCCGGAGATTGCATCAAAAGTGAAGTCTCAACGTGTCAGACATTGATTTGAATATTTTGAATTCAGTTTGTAATTAGACGCGGCGCGGATTTCATCGTTCGCCTCGCTAACAAGTGCAATAATAGAAAACATGAAAATCGGTAAGCTGCTAAAAACTCTGTCAATCTGTCGGTGCGGGAGGGGGGGGCTTTACTACAACGACCCTCACGACGACGCGGCTCATTCATTAGATCATTCCATTCATTCGGCGTCATTCGATGTGGGCGTCACATACATAGTTTCTGCTGCTGTTCTATATTCGCGCTCATGTATGAGTGTTGTGTGTGTGCGTACCTGCTTTAGTGTTGTGTAATTGCTTAGATAGCTGATTCAATGTTAAGTCAAGAAGCCTTGATAAAGCAAAGTCATATCAAGTCTGCCAGATGTTGATGCAACGCTTGGGAGAGCTCTCTTGTCAGACCGGAAGTTGGCTTTGAGAAACTGCTCTTGAAAAGCTTGTCGAAGAGTTTCGGAACCAGTTCGAAAAGTTCCATTAAAGAACTTCAGTTTAAGCCAATTTAAGTCGCTTGTTAACCTATCTGAACTGAAATCAGGGCAATCAATTGTAGATCTCATCGTCAATTTATAGAGAAAATAAAAACAACGCTCGCTGACAAATTAATACGAAATAAACAACAACAACAATTCTAATTTGTTGTCATTCGTTTTGGTTTTGGTTTTGTTTTTGTTGCCGCATACTAATTTTAGTTTTGGTCAAAGTCAAGTGATTCATCCAAACACTGAAAGTGCTCAAGATATTGTTTGCTAATTCTGGCCGGCAGGTGGCGCCGCTGCGACAAACGCCCACAACGCAACGCAGCCTGCGGCAGGCAACAAATGGCAACGTTTACTCAACACTTTTGTTGTACAACTACGCGCAAATGTGTTGTAATCAACAGCAACAGAAATAACAACAACAACAACAACAACAACAAAAATACACGCAAACACATGCTCATGCTTGAGTTTGAGCGGGTTTTCCCACCCTCTCTTGAGTGAGTTATGCGCTGCACACTGAACTCATACACAGAATACGATGCAAAAATTTCGTAAAACGTGAGCAGGAAAGCATTATGAGTAAATTACAAAACAATCTTATAATTTCTTCTTCTGTATCTATACATGGACTTGTATATATGTAATAATATAGGGCTGCCTAGTTACCTACAATGAAAATTCTACATTTTTTTTTAATATAGTTTCGAAATGTTCAGAGTTTGAATCAACCAAATATCAGCTGATATTTGAAAAACAAGATTTTCAATTTGGTACCAGTGTGCGCTGCTGCTGTTTGTCTCGCAGCCTCAGCTTCAGCAACGGTTTTCGTCGGGCATCTTGTTCAGTTGCTTTTAAGATTTTGCCGAGCGAAAAATCATTTTTGGTGCTCTGCTGCCGAATTTGCCGTTACCGTTGCTCTGTGCGTTGAAATATCGTCGATCGATTGCTTGTGTATTTCTGTTTTGGTTCGCTTTTTGTTGTTATTTGTTTTAATTTGCGGCAGTGTGCGTGTCTATAGAATTTTAATAAAGGCTGCGTATGGCGATCAAAGAAACAACAACAATAACAACAAACAAAATTAACAACAACAAATGAAAGTGACAGCCGCAAGCTGCAAAAATATGTAACAACAATGTCAACAGCAATTTGCCAGAGTCCAATGAAAAATAAGAAGAAGACGCAGCGCAGTCAAGAGCATAACGTTACAAAAAAAAGTTTAAAAAACACATCAACAAGCACAATAACAACAATTGGAATCGCGCGTGCTGCTTGACCTGCTCTGCGCGCTTTGCTCTTTCGCTCTCTCTTTCTGTCTCTCTCGCTCGGCCACCAACAACTCTCTTGATCTGCACACTCGCTCTCCGTTTTGTGCATTGTGCAAGGCGTCGGTCGCCGTTATAACAGCTGTCTGGCGTTCGTGTTTGGTGCCGACTGCAGCTGTCAATACTCCCCCAACTACAACTATGTCAATTTATTGAAACTCGCTCTCTTTGTCCTTACCCAGCGTAGCCAACGTTGTTGTTGTTCTGATTAACTGCAGCTGTATAACTTCGTTGCGTTGCTCTTTTAATTGATGTGCTCACTCTTTTTGCCACCCCCCACTCTCTCTCTCTCTCCCTCTTTGGTTGGATGCTTTTAATTGATTTTAATTGCATTTTGATGAAAACAATTTGAAGATAATGTTAACCAATAGTTGAAATTGTCAGCATCGCTGCATTTTTGTCATTGGCATTTAATGGCTTTTAAATGATCTTAAATATTGCAGTTGGCTTTTCTGAGTTAACTGAGAAAACCCAATTCTCGTAAATTGATTCAAAGAACAATGCATTTCCTACAGAATGTTCTCTAATGGACTTGTTTCCTTTTCTCTTAGATGATAAATTTATGCCGAATATACAGATATATGTATGCACAATTATTTGATCTCTTTAATCTGTCGCTTTTAAGAGCATATATCATTTTATAGAACATTAAGCGGATGATCTTTGAAATTGAACTTAATACCGTTGCGACATTTAAAACAATAATTCACAGTCAAAATATAGCGAATGAAAAAAGATTCATGTCACTTTCCGAGTCATTTCCATTCCACACACAGTTCGCATCATAATTCTCTTGGCCCCACAGTCTTGACGTTGACCCACTGAAGCGCGACGCTCTGATAACCCTGCCAGCTCTATTTTTAGACACTCTCCCCAACACCACACACAGCCAATAGCCATATGGCAGGGCGTACAGAGTATCAACATACATACATATGTATATACGTACAGACACTCCTCAGAGACAACCACATGTTCGAAGCCCCATTTTTTTTTTGGATCGGTTCCTTTCGAATTATTTTTAAGCAAATTGCGAAACGATTTGCCATTTGCCTGATATTTTCCAAAAACCGAAACAATCTTTTAAATATAGATTCAGCCTCTCTACCCCGGACGCGCCCTCCCCCTTTATTGTCTTTATAATATTCACAATAAATCGGCTGCCAAATAGAAAAGCCGTCACACTTTTTGCCCCAACTATTTGCTTTACATAACTCAAGATTTTCACTCAATCCGATTGATCTGAGCACTTTCCCTTCTCTATGTTGGCTTTGGCCCAATTGCAGGTGGCACTAACTTTTGAACCCCGCTAGAAACGACGCCAAAAAAGAAAAAAGAAACAAACTGATGATTTGTTTGATTTCTTGTTGGGTGATGTCTTAATCGCTCGCTGTCATGTTTCGTGTTGGACAGTGTTTTTGTCTTGTATTCGCTTTTATCGCCTCGGCTGTGTAGGTCAAATGAGGACGAGTGACAGCTAAGACAGCTTAGATTTTCCTCCATGGAACCCAACCCAAAAGTCATTTGCCATATTTTGTGCCCTGCCTTTGTTAAGTTTACACCATATAACCAATTAATCTGGGTACAGTGGAGCAAATCTGTAGAAATGTGTTCCCAGGGATTAAACACTTCTCGAAGACAACGCCATTAAATGATTAATACCCTTTCCCTAAACTCTACAGCAATAAATAGTATTAAAAAACTAGAAATTTTCATCGGAACACGAGACAAGAGATATATCCTTTTTTTCTGGAATATACACACATATTTATGCCATCTTTGAGCACTGTAAATAACCGATCAACATATATTTATTTGAGTTTGCATTTACAGGGTATTTCAACGTCGGTCACCTGCAACTAGAGCACCATTTGAGCTGTTTGTTTGTTGCTTTTAGCCAAATTATAGCCAAATAGAATGCAAACAACGTTAATTTGATCAAATATATTTTCAACGAGGCACACTCACACACACACACACACACACACACACACACACACACGAATTGATTTATATATATTTATATAATCATCATATATGCGATATTTCGTGCCCTGGTGTGATTTTTAGCTCGCTCGACTAGTTCGTCCCACAAGAAACATATCAAAAACAAAAAAAAAAAAAATTGTGTGTAGACCTCGTCTGCTGTCTGTACGTTCCCCCTCACCGGTACGACCCCCCTCTTCCCCCGTCTCTACACACTGCTTATGGCCATTATGGGCGCAGTGTGGGAGTCGATGGCTTTGGCTTTGGCTTTGCTTTCCGATTGAGTTTTCATGCAGCTTTTGGCTTTGCTCAAACTTGGCTAGTTAAAATTTCTCCATTTGCTTCAGTTGTTATTGTTGTTGTTGTTGTTGTTGTTAAGTGTTTAGGCACGTTACGCAAACATTTCTATTAAAGGAACTAACCGAACCGTGTTTGTGCCCCCTTCAGCGTCTTCATCAATTTTGGCCATCTTTTCGTTTTGGGCTAAATAATGTCTTCGAAACTGATATCATCGTCGTTCCACAGCACGCCCCTCAACGACTGTTTCAAAGTGGGCGAGTTCGAGAGACGCTTGGGTAAGTTCATGTTGTCAGGTGCGAGACTTGCGAGCTTTGAATGTGGGCTGCTGCCAGATTGTTAGGCGGCAGTGTTCCAAAGCCAAGGTCAAGTTCGAATGCAATTGGGGAAAAGGGGTCAACGGCCTTGACTTGATTTTAAAAATCAAATAACTAATAATCTCTATGATCATTGTCAGTTGATAGACTCGAGAAATACCTATTGCAGTATTGCTTTAACAAAAGTGTAAGGAACTGCAAAGATTCAAATTAGGTTCTTATAACATGGCTGCATACCTAAACAAATTAGTTTTCGTGTCTTCGTGAACCGATCCTTGCCCAGAGGTTCAGCTAAAGCACCTGTTTCTACATTCAGCTAATTTGTTGATTGTTTTGTTTTCCTCTTCTCTTCTCTCTCCGAGCGCCTAAAGGGAGGGTATATACTAGTCTGTCTGTGAGAATGATTGTAAATTTGAGGTTTGGTTTATATTTGACGGCTGTTTGCATTTAGATTCGAGGCTCGATTTATCTCAGAATTGAAGCATCGGATTTTATATAAGCCTTTAACGTTTCGTGTAGCCAATTTCAGAACGGCATCTTTTTTGTTTAATATTTTTACAATTCATTTGATACATTTTTCAATGAAAAATTCTCCCACAATTGTCAAACGAGGGAAGCAGGCATAATTAATATATATTTATTATATTTTAAATGTTTAGTGACATCAATATAAACAGTTTAATTTTGAAGGCAAACCCACATAGTTAGGTTAAAAGCTTTGAAACATATTCTACACGCACGGCTTAGTTGGGACACAAACCCGGCTAAACAATAAAAGCCCCAAAAACGTGAAGTTTTCCTTATAAACTTATTTTTGCTTAAGTCCGCTGATAAAGCCCAACAAAAGTCACACATATGTGTTGACATACACTCGCTGGTGATTTGTTATCTGTAGCTTCGGCCAAGATATATGAATAAAGCAAAGTGAAACGTTTGGTTAGACGGCGGCTATCAGTTTGCGATGCGTCAGAGGAGTTACGTTAGGCGGTTGTCATTGTCTGGCCATGGCTAACTACGGCGACTACGATAATCTGGGTGTCTATGGGCTGCATCACAAAAATGTTGCAGCAATACTTAAACCAATCTTGTTGTTTTTTTCCAGATGCACTCCTTGCCGATTTGCAGAACAGCGTGCCGGGGCAGCCGCCACAGCCACAGCTGCAGCCGCAGTATGGCACTGTTCAGCCCAAGCAGCAGCAACCACAATTTGTTGACAACACGCCCGGCTATGGCAGCCTGAGGGGCAAGGCGCAGCCGCAAGTGGTAAGTGGCAGGAGTTTAGCATTGAATTTAGTTGATAAATCGGTTTTTTTTTGTTTGTATGCAGTATCAGGAACATTACAGCTCGGAGACGCGCTCGCCCACAGCGGCCGATTTCAATGGCTCCAGCCAGAACAATGGCTATTCGCATCAAGGCACCGGCTCGCTGCCCCGCACGGGCTACAATAATGGACAGGGCTTGCCGCAGAACAGCTCCGGATTGTCCGAGTTGGATTCGCTTCTGCAGGATTTGCAGCATGCGCGTTACAATAACGGCGGCGGAGAGCGTAAAGGTGAGTCTGGGCTCAAGTGGAATAAAGATACGCATACTAATATTTATCTCTCTTCTTAATTCAGCTGAAGTCGAGGTGCCTACTAACTACAGCTCGCCCGTCTCCAAATTCAACACTTTCAACAGCTACGTTTCGGTGGAAGAACGACCCACTGTCGATAGCCTTCTTAATGAGCTGGACAACGCGCACATATATGCTGTACCCAATGGGTAGGTGTTCTTTTTTTTAATACTAAATTGCATCTAAAATCATGCCTTATTCCCTCAAGATCTGCACACAAATCTCCCACGCCAGGACGACATGTGACTATCACGGTGCGCGAAACGAAAACCGAAAAACTCTCGGGACCCGATGGACCAGGTATTGTGCAAAGTACCTTCAATCTACATTTAATTTTTATCCAAAGTTACCTTTTGTGTATAGTTGGTTCCATCGAGGAGCAGATCGTGCAGAAGAAAGATTCGTATACACCAAATCTAGCAGCGCCTGCGCCTCAGCATCAAGGCTACACATCGCAAGCCACCAAGGAGCTGGATGATTTAATGGCATCCTTGTCGGATTTTAAGGTAAGTCAACCTGAAACTGGAAAGTTTAACACATAAGTTTAGAAACGACAATTGAGAAAGGGCAGATGCTTACAGACAGCTCCCGAAAGTATGCTATACAATTGACAACGATTAAAATAGTACCAGTTTCTGTTACTTTAAACGAAACCGTAATAACCATTTTTGTGACATTTATTAGTTTCACGATTTCAAGATCATTATAAGCTTTAACACTTAGGCTTACAGTTTGAAAATCCTGTTTCCGGTTACTTGAGTGATCACAATCAACAAGACTGTGAATATATTATCATTTGTTAAATAAACTGCAAAGAAAATATTGGAGCATCATAACGTGTCCAGGCGTGGCTGGCCGCAACAGATACAGATACAGATACAGATACAGATACAGATACAGATACAGATACAGATACAGATACAGATACAGATACAGATACAGATACAGATACAGATACAGATACAGATACAGATACAGATACAGATACAGATACAGATACAGATACAGATACAGATACAGATACAGATACAGATACAGATACAGATACAGATACAGATACAGATACAGATACAGATACAGATACAGATACAGATACAGATACAGATACAGATACAGATACAGATACAGATACAGATACAGATACAGATACAGATACAGATACAGATACAGATACAGATACAGATACAGATACAGATACAGATACAGATACAGATACAGATACAGATACAGATACAGATACAGATACAGATACAGATACAGATACAGATACAGATACAGATACAGATACAGATACAGATACAGATACAGATACAGATACAGATACAGATACAGATACAGATACAGATACAGATACAGATACAGATACAGATACAGATACAGATACAGATACAGATACAGATACAGATACAGATACAGATACAGATACAGATACAGATACAGATACAGATACAGATACAGATACAGATACAGATACAGATACAGATACAGATACAGATACAGATACAGATACAGATACAGATACAGATACAGATACAGATACAGATACAGATACAGATACAGATACAGATACAGATACAGATACAGATACAGATACAGATACAGATACAGATACAGATACAGATACAGATACAGATACAGATACAGATACAGATACAGATACAGATACAGATACAGATACAGATACAGATACAGATACAGATACAGATACAGATACAGATACAGATACAGATACAGATACAGATACAGATACAGATACAGATACAGATACAGATACAGATACAGATACAGATACAGATACAGATACAGATACAGATACAGATACAGATACAGATACAGATACAGATACAGATACAGATACAGATACAGATACAGATACAGATACAGATACAGATACAGATACAGATACAGATACAGATACAGATACAGATACAGATACAGATACAGATACAGATACAGATACAGATACAGATACAGATACAGATACAGATACAGATACAGATACAGATACAGATACAGATACAGATACAGATACAGATACAGATACAGATACAGATACAGATACAGATACAGATACAGATACAGATACAGATACAGATACAGATACAGATACAGATACAGATACAGATACAGATACAGATACAGATACAGATACAGATACAGATACAGATACAGATACAGATACAGATACAGATACAGATACAGATACAGATACAGATACAGATACAGATACAGATACAGATACAGATACAGATACAGATACAGATACAGATACAGATACAGATACAGATACAGATACAGATACAGATACAGATACAGATACAGATACAGATACAGATACAGATACAGATACAGATACAGATACAGATACAGATACAAATACAGATACAGATACAGATACAGTATCTTCAGACGCCAATCTATAAACCTGTTGTCTACTATATAATGTAAGAATGTATATTTCATATACACATTTCTTATTCTACACCCTTTTGACTTGAATGTCTATCTGTATATTTGTAAAACTAGTTTTTGCATTCAGTGCCGCTTTCACTTTAGTAGGGTATCTGCTAGTTAGTATCGAAATATGCATGACTATTTGTGCTCGTTAACTGCGTTTCAGTTCACCAAATGTTTTCACTGAAAAAGTGTCAGGAGAAATTCTGACGCTAGAGAAAATTAAATATATATATGTATGTACTTGTTTATTAGATCTAAGGCTCCCTTGTATTTGTGATATTTTTGGCACTAAACAAAGCGGAACCGAAACGTTTGTAGTCTATATTTCGTATATAAGTTGTTCAAAATGGTAATAAAAACTATAAAATGAACAAATTTATCATGTCAAATCGTGTGACGCATGTCGTTCAAGCAAATCTAATGATGCTAACCCGAACCTGTACTTGTACCTGTGTGTTATTCCCTCTTGACTTTGACTTATGCTAAATAAAATTGAAGGTGAAACCTATAAAAGCTGCATAAATTCTCATATTTACGGTCTCGCTAATATATTTATATATATATCTAAATAATGTCACATTCGAAAGAGAGATAATACGCTGCCATGAAGATAAAAGCCCATCAATTTTCCTATAAATACTCAACGGGCATCTCTAGGTCCATAAAACAATCAATCAATAGCCATAAAGTAAACAAAACTGGCCAATTTTGCATTCTAAACGATAAACGAAGCATGTGCCCAGCCGGCAGCAGACCGGGCCATAGGCGCAACAGTTTCCGCTTTTTGATTATATGTATTTAATATTTGGGGTTTTTAATATTTTTCTTGCGCTTTTACATACGCCGCATTTCGCAGCGCGCACATTTGTTTTTAGAAACGAACTGACATTGTATACAACGGATGGTTGATGATGATATATCTTAGCAGATGTGCTCTGCATTTTGTTGTCATATTTTTTCTTGACTAGCACGCGCTCGTTCCATATACGACAAACATTCGCAGCCGGGCAGCTGCCCAGTTATTTGTTTATATATTCTCCATATTGTGTCAAGGTCCACTGAATTCCCATGCAGTTCATTTGCGGGTGTCCTTCGGGCCAGCAATATGACAGCTTGTCGAAGTAATCAACTTGAGTGCATAATAAAACAGAAATTATCCATTAAACTGAAATGAAAACAAAGTGGAACATTTCGTTTGCTTTTAAGCAGGAGTTTATATTATTATTGAAAAATTTTTCACAACAGTTTCTTAATTCGTGCTCTGCTTTTCCTCACTTTGTGAAATATACTTTTGAGTTTTCTTCTTATTAGTTAGAATAGCCTGAGTCTAAAAGTATATTGTTAATAGAACTGTTTATTATTTAGGAAACAGCTTTTAAAAGTCTCTTTTGTTAAGATAGGATATCACTTTTATTAAAATAGTCAAAAGAGTTATTTAAATAATTGAAAACATATTTAAAATTAATAATTGTTACTCTTCTGGTTTATCTTGCAACTTATTCCAAAAGAATCTTAAATTCCTAACTAGGCATGGATAGATTTTTATAAATTAAATAAACATCTTTAACTTCTTAGAGATTCAATGTGTATTTTGCTAATCATGAGTTCAAACTATAATAAAAAACTCAAAACATTGAGAAAATCGGATGAGTTATGACCGGGTAGGAAATATTCACCTAGATAGGATATTGAAGGAAACCATTTTTACATGACTTTTGACCAAGAATAATGTTGCCAGATTAAGATGCCAAATTGATTTTCCACCCACATAACTCGGAGAGCAATAAACAAATGTTTTGCATCTGATGGCGAGATTATGAATGTCTAAAGTCTGAAAATCTTATATTTAACAATATCGTCGGACTGTTACATACATTTGCACAGAAGCATTATACGCATTTTCAATAACACATTATTGAATTGAATTTTCTGAATTGTTAACTGAATTTGGCTTTTGGATCGAAAGACGTAATGCAAGGCTGCCTTTGGGACTGTCGATTGATGCACAATATGTGTGTCTGTTTTTTAAGATATCTCAAACAAGCTCACAATTTTTCTGCTGCTTCTGACATTTGATCAAAATCAGGCTCCAAATGGAGTATATATATTTTTGGAAATGATCGACATATCGTGTATCAGACTCTAATACATTATTTTAGAAATATTAAGGGAGGGTCTCTTTCTGCTCGGCAGAATTTGGTAAAGATGCGACAAACTTCTCCTTGAAAAGTTGGTTAATTAATTGTTGCCTATTTTGGACTGGACTAGATTGGATTTAGATTTGACTTTTGGCATATATTGGAATATGTCGAGGTCCGGGCTTGAAATTGAGGTCAACCTTTCAATTTTGCCAAATCATGCTGAAATGCAATTAATTAGCCACATTCTTGGGCTGTCGCTTAGATTACTGTTTACATCTAATTAATTAATAATTAATTACTAAGTGCACAAGATTTTCTTGGCAATTGCTGATGGTCACAAAAAGCAGAGTGGACCGAGGGGCAGGCTATATTAAAAATTGCAATTCAATGTCATTGACGAATGATTATAGAGAAAGTGTGCATACATATGTGTGTGTGTGTGTGTGTGCGCGTGTGTGTGTGTGTGTCCGTGTCTGTTAATTATTTAATATCATTTTCAATTTTTGCCGTCGTTGCGAGTCGCGGCGTGTCCGTGACTTTTGTTGATATGCCGCAAAGAGATGATAAATATGAAAATCAAATTGGCCTCTAATGTGTGTGTGTGTGTGTGTGTGTGTATGTCAGTGTGTGTGTGTGTGCGTGAAAAAGTCGAAAAATATAAAATACACGATAAATATATAAACAATATTGCACACGGCACCTCCGAAAACACAGAACTGGTCGCTGCGGCTGGGCTCTTTTCGGGTCGCCCACACGACACTGGCAGTCAGATGTTGTCGCCCCCGCAATTGCTGCCGGCCCCCTCTTGGGTCGCCACTGTCAACACTTTTTCCACGGTGCGCTCGTTATAGTTTTTCTATTTATTTTTCAGCCTTTTCATTGCAAATCATTTGCATGGCTATTTTTGAACACGTTTTTTTAATATTCGTTCATTTGGCTATACACAAGTTTATCTATATAAGTGTGTGTGTCTATAATTATTGCCTTGTCTGAACGCTCTATATTATTGTATGGTTTGTTAATTTTTTTTTTTTTTTTCATTGCCGCCCCGAATTGGCAATCTGTTGTCTGTCTGTGGGTCTTTACCGCTCCGTTCCGTCCTGTCCGCCCCGTTCGCCTCATTCACAAAACCCGCTCATTGATCGAAATTTCCTCTTGGCATCTTCCTGTGCCGCCGGCCGTTACCCCAACCGGCAGACGAATTTTCTGCATCTTTGCTGTTCGGCGTGTGCCAAAGTGCCAGCTGCGGCAACGTGCCCCTGCGCTTTTTATGGGGAAATCCTGTTGGCCAACCGGCAAGCTTTCAGTTTTATAGCGCCTCAACGAGGTTCTGATCGCAGACGTATCTAAATTTTTTTCTTTAAATAGCCACAAAATCCCGCCAACGCCAAAAGAAATCAAATTGAAAGCCAATCGGATTCAGTAGCGGAGTGAGGGTTGCTTCTGCGATGGGCGCCTTGCTTAAGCACGCATCCATGGGTTGAACTTAAAAAACTATGAATTATTTCAGAACTTAATGATAAAGTGAGCCAGAAATTTGAACCTTGCAGCTCTTTATTGAAAATGCGCATAATGAGCCAGTACAAATGAATGGAACAGATCTTTAGACATAAAATCTGAAATTTATAATCTCGTTATCAGATGCAAAACATTTATTTGATTGTTTTCCTTATTTATTTATGGATAAATGCAGATGAATATACCTAGTTTTTGTAAATATTCTTGCTCGGCATCGACAGCCGGGTCTATCTAGCTATATCCGTCTGTCTGTCTCTGTGAAGGCGTCGATCGCGAAAACTGTAAAAGGTAGAGACAATAAACTAAGTTAAAAATCAATTGTTTCAAAATGTTTTTTAGAATATATCTCCGAGCCCATTTCAGCCCTAGCTAGAGACGCCTTATTTGATATAAATGGAAAAATCAAATTTTTATATTTTAGGTATGATGTTGGTCTTTGATTGATATGCCTTTTTGAAGCCCGATAAATCTCCATTAGCATCGAACTATAAACACAGAACTTATTCAAGAAAATATTTCCCATAGAGTATTCCATCCGAAGTGCACTTGTGTATGTGTGTTGCATATGTGCTCATTTATCAACACTGGCACTGATTGTTTAATTGATGTGTTAGTAAGAGCACTACTGTTGCCAAGCCCTCCTTGGTGCTGAAACGTCCCTGTCTATTTAGATAAATATCTAGCTAAGCGCACGCACACATGCACACACATGCACATTCACTCATGCGCAGAAGTATAGCACTCAATTAGGCGTCTAGGTTAGTTTGGGCAACTGACAGCGCAGCGGCAGAGAATATGCAAAGTTTATGAAAGAAAACTGAAATGGAAACTCGCACGACACGCAGAAACAGAAACAGAAACAGAAGCAAAATCCGTATACAAATATGAAAAACATAACAGCAGACAGACAGCATTCAAAAAGAAAATCGGAATTGTTGTTGTTGTTGTAGTTGTGGTTGTTGTGGTTGTTGCTTGGCTTTTCGTATTTTTGGCAATGAACAAAAACTACGTCAACTAGAAATGCTGCTCGGCGCGTATTTATGAGGAGAGCGTCGTGCGCAACGAAGCACACACAGACACAGACACAGACCAAATCCACATTAACAACAACAGCAACAACAACAATAGGCAACACATACAACAATTTGTTGTAAGAAAAATTTTTGAGGCATTTTGGGGTATAGCAAAAAGCAAAAGTTATTCTGTTGGCGCGCGCATAAAGTTGAATTCAGTCGAGCCGAGCACATCGAGCAACGACGTAAGAGGCACGGATAATCGAGCAGATGGACTAGTTAACTAATTTGTTGCATTGTATTTATTTTATTGGCAGGTCAGCAACGGTAGCAGCGGGCAACATTCGAGCACAGGAACAGCACAACAGCTGCAGCAGCATCATCAGCAACAGCATCAACAGCAGCAGCAGCAGGTGACGGACTACGCACAGCCAAACCGGGGCACACAGCAGGCGCATCTGACGCAAACGATCGAGGAGACGACAATAGTCGAGGATAGTCGCGAGGATCAGTTGGATTCTATGCTAGGCAACCTGCAGGCCAATATGAGTCGCCAGGGTGTCAACACAGTGCAGAAGGGCTGCTGCAATGCATGCGAGAAACCGATTGTCGGCCAGGTGATTACCGCCTTGGGCAAGACCTGGCATCCGGAGCACTTTACGTGCAATCACTGCAGCCAGGAGCTGGGCACACGCAATTTCTTTGAGCGTGACGGCTTTCCATATTGCGAGCCCGACTACCACAATTTGTTCAGTCCGCGCTGCGCCTACTGCAACGGCGCCATTCTGGACAAGTGCGTAACGGCCCTGGACAAGACCTGGCACACCGAGCACTTCTTCTGCGCCCAGTGCGGCCAGCAGTTCGGCGAGGATGGCTTCCATGAGCGCGACGGCAAACCCTATTGCCGCAACGATTACTTTGAGATGTTTGCGCCAAAATGCAATGGCTGCAACCGTGCCATAATGGAGAACTACATCTCCGCCTTGAACTCGCAGTGGCATCCGGATTGCTTTGTCTGCCGGGTAAGTAACAGCCTCAACCTCTGCCTAACTTTAAAGAGTTCTTTTATCCATCTGTATGGTATATGATATATATGTATATATATATATATATAGGATTGCAAGAAGGCTGTGCGCGGCAAGTCCTTCTATGCCATGGAGGGCAAGCCCGTTTGTCCGCAATGTGTGGGCGTCGATGAGGAGGAATAGGCGCCACCAACAACAGCAACAGCAGCAGCAGCAGCAGAAGCAGCAGAGGCAGCAGAAGCAGCAGCAACAACAACAACAACAACTTGTTGAAGTTCAGCAGCACGAAAATAGCCCCCGCCCAGATACAATTTGTATCTGCATATAGTTGTTTACCCAGCGGCAGCTGCGTCCCACTTTCTCCTTCTCTCTCTCTCTGTTTCTGTTCTCCTTGCTCTCACCGCCTTTATTCACACGTTCTCTGGGCTATTTTCGTTGAATATGTGAAAATCTTTTTATTTTGTCGGGGCGCGACTTGCTGCCACCTGCCACCTGCCATCTGCAGCAACCATCCAGCAGCAGCAACAATATCAAAAGGAGCAGATAACACACCCACAACACACACCACACACTGCGTCCCCCTTTTTGCAGGCGTCGGTTTAACTGGGTTCTGGACACGGCTGACCACCAGGCAACTGGGCAGGTCGGCTGTTGCCGCCCGGACCGCACGCTTAACCGTGTTTATGATGGCCACGGCCATGTCTCCCGCCCCTGTTTAGAGTACCTCCACCGCCCCTTAAAACTGTTGAGCTTTTCTATATGCAATTTAGCGTTAAGTTTTTAGGTATTTTTTTAAATTTAAACATTTATGAAGCAATATTGTAATTTGTTTTTGTAAATAAAATTTTAACAATTAAATATAACGAATTGAAAAAAAAAAAAAAATAATTAAAAAACCCAAAGAACAACCAAAAATCTAATTCGAGCCTGGCACTCGGCTGGCTGTGGGTCTGTTTTAAGAACCTGGCCCATCCAGCCAGCCCATGCCACGCCTCTCGATAAGTTAAGATCAGTGTCAAGATCTTGACCTTGATGGCAATGGGAATGTTCGCATGTCGCATTCCTTGACCTTCAATTTTGATTTTGTTGTTCTTTGCAAACAATTTACAATATTGCTACATAGATTTTGGGATTAGATTAGCGGCAACGCCCCCTGACCCCTGCACAGCTGCGGGGTTGGTTTTAACTAAGTGGAAACTATTTTCGTTGCTGACGTTTCGCCCATAAACAAAACACACACAAAATTAGCAAATGATTTATATATATATACATATATATAAAAGGCTTGTACTCACGAGTACATTTCTATAACACATTTTCAAATATGTAAATAATTTCTTTCACTGTTTACATTATGCGTGGAAACTGGGCGCTATTTGAACTCTTTGGAGTTTAGTCCCGATCTGCGTTTATTATCTGTCATTTTCCTATGCAAATTAAAATTAAAAATAAACGAATGCATATCTTGATGAAGTATGCATATTTATAGATTTTCAACAGATTTCCTTTCAAATGCGATAGAAATTCCGTTTAAATGATTTCCATATAACAAATATATCAGGGCCAAATTTGGACGCTGGAAAATGCCAAAGATTCTGATTTGTGTTTAATATATTGTTTGCCCTGTTACAAATAAGTATAAACCCAAAATAATAGTTTACAAGGAATTAAACAAACTATGCAGCTGTTTCTCCTCTCTTGGATGAGAGTATTATACGATTTGAAAAGATCAGAGAATCACATAGATAAATCTAACATTGCAATGTGACATTTTTAAAGCTATTGACATTTGCTTAAATGGAACTTGTAAGCACTTGAGAATTTCAAAAATCTATAAATGCTTTAAAAACTTGTTTCTTCCCAGACTTTATAGTATAATTTAGAAGGATTAGGTAACTTAAGACCAAGTAAAGTAGGCTTCAGTTGAACACTTTCATTGAGTCTGTTGGCACAGAACATTCCTATGAGTATCCTTTTCTTTATCTAAGATTTATTATTGTTATATCATTAGGAAGCTGTCTCGAGAAGTGCCCCTTTTCTGAGTATTTTTATGCCTTTTAAATTCTCTTTCCTACATATTGTTTATCTAACTAAAATCTTCGAATAGTTGAAGTAAAATGCGAGATTCGTAAAGTCTTCCCGTTTCTATCGCAGCCATTTCCATTAGACTATCGTATAAAAGTAAGCTAAAGATTCAGAAGATTGGATTACATAAGGCAATGTGCATGGATATTAATTTCAAGTATAGCTAGAATTATTGTCGCATTCGTTTCGGCGGCTGTCTGGGTTTTCCAAGGCAATATATTTAATTGTTGCCAGCAACATATTTTATAATCTATATTTTTATTTTCATTTATCTATCCGTATGTATTCTATATCTGTCGTGCCTTGGAGCTGGGCCAAAAGCGTGCGCAAAATGTTATTGTTCAAATAAATGTGATTTGTTGTTGTTGTTGCTGCTTTAAGAATGTTTTTCCAAAACACCAACAAAATAAAGAAAGCTGCGTCCCAAAATGTGCCAAAATTGATCATTTCGATCATTTGCTGGCTTTCCTTTGTTTTTCAATAACGTGAAAGTCAAATGTTTTGTACAAAAGCATCTGCCAATAATCATTTCAATATTTCGTTTGGCACGTTTGCGTTTGACAAAATTGTAATTGGGCTGTAAAATTTCACACAAACTATTTGCAGAATTTCAGAAGTCTCGAAATGTTCCCAAGTCTGAGAGATGGGTGAAGGGACGCGAACTCGGGCTAATTTATGGTGTAATTAGCATTATTTGGCCCGTTCGCAGCGACGAATATTAAAGCACACACTCGCCTTATAATAGATCATCCAAAATGTTATTTCTTACGTTTTAATTACATTCAGATGCACTTGCGGAATATGGCGCAGTAACATTTACATATTATTGCATTTATATAATTCAACTAATCGGTAATTTTGTATTTTATTTCTTTTTCGTCTTGCAGGACTGTCGACAACCGTTCCAGGGCGGTTCGTTCTTTGACCACGAGGGTCTGCCCTATTGCGAGACACATTATCATGCCAAGCGCGGTTCGCTCTGCGCCGGCTGCTCGAAGCCCATAACGGGTCGCTGCATTACGGCCATGTTCAAGAAATTCCATCCGGAACATTTTGTGTGCGCCTTCTGTCTCAAGCAGCTGAACAAGGGCACGTTCAAGGAGCAAAAGGACAAGCCCTACTGCCACGCCTGCTTCGATAAGATATTCGGCTAAGCCAGTGCCAACTGGGCCCCAAACTATAGTTACGATTTAATACTGTTTTTGTACGATTTACGATTTATGTCTTCTACCAATACTTACAATACTTCATCTGCGCTTTCTATAACCGAGTCAAATTAGTAATATAATTAACACAGACACACGATTTGATCAGAGTAATCAATTAGACGACACTAATACCCAGCCAACATAATGGTAAAATGATATTTCTGCTCTTTTGAAAATAAAACTATTACAATGCAAACAATTATTAACCATTTTGTTCTTAGGGTTCCGCTGATGCAAACATTCAGTCGCAAACGCAATCAAAATTCTCGCCGCTGATGGACATAAAAGTAGAAACTTTTACCAAGGACCGGAAGTACGAGAAAAAAACGAGTCCTGAATCACTAGAAAATTACTTCGACTTCACAAAATAAGTAAAACACTTGCTGAGCTTTAAAGTTTTGTAGAGGGTATTATAGTTTTGTCATGAAATATGTGAAATATGTGATATGTAAAATATGTAACATATGTTACATGAAATATGTAATATTCTAGATCAGCATTAACAGCCGACTGTCCGTCTATCTGTTTCTATGCGAAATAGTCTCTAAATTTTGAAGCTTTTCTTTTGAAGCTTTCTACCTATTTGAGTCAGTGTATATGCCGTAATCGGCCGGATCGGAACACTATATCATATAGTTGCCATAGAAACGATCGGTCGAAAATTATGTTGCTGTATGGAAAACTTATTTGTCATTCAAGATATCGTGACCAAATTCGGCCCTAACTATTTTCCCTTTTGCTTCTTAGATACGGGCAATGCACTATTAAAAGGTTGGGTCTGCAAGGGTATTAGATATTCGGTGTGGTGGAGCTAGCCTTTCGAGTATTCCGGGCGGCAGTATCCGACGGAGAGATGCCCTGAATCCAGCGTCGTTTGTAACGTTTGAGTTCGATAATAATTTATGAAACTGATTACCGAATCAAGTCATAAAAATGAATCAATTTTGGTTAGGAAAATACCTGTTTTACAGCCTTGGTAAACAAATTCTTGGCCTGCAACAACAGCCTATTTACTTCTTAAAATAATAACTTCGATTTTTATTTTCTGCCCTTAATTAATTAAATAACTAATCATAAATGAAAGAATAGTTAATTTATTCAAAAAGGTCAACCATGTTAATTAACAGAAGCTGCCTGTTTAGCCAAGCGAAGACACGAACCCGCATGCATCAGTAGTTGGCCGGTCAGTTTTTTAACCAATGTATGCGGCTCAACTACAGTTTTAGATGCACATCTAACATGTTTGCTCACCATCTGCGCACCTAAAATTGGCCTCTCCCACACTCTCTTTCGCTCTTGCATGCACACAAATACACACACACACACGTGCAATTCTGTTTATCTGGCAAAGATGCCGGCCGGCAGCTCGATTGCCGGCTCGCTCGCACTTGGCGCTTGACATTGAGCTCAGCCAGCGTGTTCGCGCCGACTTAGTAACGTTCTTGCGATTGTATTTAACTGCCCGCGCTCCCTGGCGCATGTGGGAGCGTGTCTGTGTGTCGCTCCCTATTAACGTAGGGTTCCAGCACGAACGTTTTGTTATGAATCAGTCAGCGTCAGTCTCGCTCCGCTCACTCACTTTTCATCTGTTGGCTGTGTCGGTTCGGTCAGTCCTGCTGGTCGCGTGGCCCGTTGCTCTTTGCTGTGTTTTTTTTTATTCGTTTCGTGTGTTGTTTAGTTCGTGGCATTTATTTCAATTAGTCGATAGATTCATTTGCTCACACAGCCGGCAACATTGAACTATTTTATTGCGATAAACAAAAAATTTCCTGTGTCAAGCGCCGAATAAATACCGAAGCTAAGCCCGGCAAAAAGAGTTCAATCTCAGGCGGTGTTCGCAGAAAGCGCTACAGGTTGGTGAATAACATATTCAAACACACTCACACACAGACACACACACAGACAAATATGAGTGTATTCAGTAGTCATTTGACTCTCTGCTGCATTCTGTAACAATACCAAAGAAATGTTTACCAAGAGGTTTTGTTGTGCGGTGATGTAATAGGAGCTTTTACTCAAGTCCTTAACAAAACAAACGGCAGCAACAGCGCTGCATGTGTGTGTGTGTGTGTGTGTGCGTGCGCGCGCCTGTGCTTTGCACTGCGAGTCGTGATATCATGTGGCGGAATTCAGATTCGGAGTCCAATCAGAATCCGACTCGGAGTCACGCATGCCACCCGCATAAGCAGTTGCGAGAGCAACAACAGCTGCAGAACAGTAGGGCAAGAGAGAAGAGAGCAAGAGGAAAGAAAATACAATTAGCTTTATTTATGCCACAGGCACACACACGCACACGAAGCTATTGAATTGCCCGCCAGACTGTCAAACTGTCAATGTGTTTGTGCTCAGCAATTTGTCAATGATTGCGACATGTAAATAACAGTGAAATTAACATTTGCAGCTATTTATTATTTTATTATTGCCGTTGCGAATTGCAGCACTTAAAGTTATGTTTAAATTGCATTGTAAATTCATTTAACATAACATCAGCGCCAATTCCAGGCCGAGCTCAGTTCTCACAATACTGTGTGCATATTTACGGTAGGCACAGGTGGGCAACTGTCAGCCAATTGGGGAGAATTGTGCACTACACGGAATTCAAGTACAGATTAGTGATAATGTTAATTATATTTAATGTGCGGTGATTTGTTTATAATCACTTGCATATGAAATGTACGCTGACAAATTAGTTAGGCGCATGCCAACATTTCTGGCAGCTTTAAGGGATTGCAGTTTGACAGCCACTGTGCCGAATGCAAGCAGAACAGTGGCTGTTAAACTAATGCAGCATTTACATGCATATCTTATCAGCCCAAGTCAACAATGATCCAATTGGCGCTTTTTGGCATTCCGCATGGAGTGCGTTGTTGCTTTAGCACACACACACATACATTCTTATATGATTATACCCTATGTTCTTGTACGTTTAAGCAAATTATAGGCTTATCATGCGTATTTACTCATACCACAGACTGTTGGCGCAGTATTTTCTTAAGTGTGGCATAAAGGTTGGAAAAAGCACAGAAAGAGTATAAATCGATATATACATTTATTTCCTACCCCAATAATAGTATATTGACTGATACGTTCTTATCTTGGCCCAACTTTAAGGCGGCCATACCCAACCCTCGACAACAGATCAAAGGCCAAGTTCGTGTGACGACGATTCGAGCGGAAACGCAACTAATTAACAAAAATACCCAAATTAATTTAACCACTTTTGATCGAATCTATATAAAACGATATCTCATTACAATTATTTTTATTGAAGCGAACGTACATTCGGTTTTCTAATCTTCCATGGAATAGGAATAGGATTTAATGGACTAGAGCATTTGGAATGGAAATGCTGAACCGATTTATAACATGCTTAAATTTTGGATTTAGATGCGAATTGTTTCTAGTTTCTTGTGCATTGAGTGCAAGGGTATTACGTGGTCGACTTTAGCTGTAGTTGTTTTTTTTTTTTTTTTGTTCGCGTGAATTTCATTTTCGTCTGACGCACGCCCACTTTCCAAGTGCTACTTATATTTACTTTTATTATTACGGTCTACTGAACTATAAAAAAGTACTAGAGCAGTCGGTTGATATTTTTATATTTCAATTTTCATCCATCATCCGTTTACGAGTTTAAACAAACTTAAAAAAATGGGGCAACATCTTCCGGTACGACCTGTTAGCACAAAAACAAATTTGCTCTCTCAAGTATTTACCATGTGCTCAAGTGTATACCCTGGCTTTTATAAGTTCGAACCGGGTATGCTGCACATACACATAGATTAAGTCTTATTTAGAAAATTTCTTCAGCGTGTCCTCAGCTCAAACACACACTTGACTCTAACATGAATATAACTTTTATGTAAATGGAGAACAGGCCTTGAGCAGTAGGATACAGGGTAGCTAACAGTGTCCTAACTCTAACTCACTCGTATATAGAAGTTAAGAGAGAGAGAGAGAGAGAGAGAGAGAGGTGTTAATAAAACAATTTAGCTACGGGAATTATACTCTTGAAAATCCATAGAAAGCATATAATATATTATATTGAGCACGTTCTTTGCCGGCTTCATGCTAATTAGCTCAAGATTGTTTTTGGTTTTTTATTGACTCGCAATTCAAAATGCTCTCCAAATATGAAATTCGTGTCTTACAGTGGAATAGAATTCGAACATCATGTTTAGATCTATTGCCCAAAAAGCGGGCAGAATTTAAAGAAAACTTATCATCATGTTTTCCCCCACCGTGTCGGTGATTTCCCAATACTTTTCTCTTTGTCCTATCCACTTAACACTCTTTATCTAACTTACATTGCTTTACTTTATTAACAATTTTCTTACTTTCTTTTTTCCTATTTATTGTATTTTCTTTATTAATTTAGCAAATTAAGATTATTTTTAATTACACTTGAGATCACTTTTTTCCTACTTACAACCTTCTGCTTAGATGTAGGCTCTAATAGCGTCACTGACAAAATTAGCTGTGAAAAGGGGCACAGCTGGCCGGACTGGCAAATAAAACACCTCCATCGGTCGGTGATGCTATTTAGAAAATTGTATCCTTTAACTAGGCTTTTAGAATATACTTATATTGTACAACCTTTTGAATAATGAGGAAGACACTCGTTTTGTCGACCATTAATAAATAAATAAATAAATAAATAAATAAATAAATGTTAAGATCTGTTATACTTAGATTAGAATAAAGAACTAAAGTGATAAACTTCAGTCTTTTGGTTTACTTACGAATTAAATACTTTAAAACAGAAAATAAAAGAGCGAAAAATGATGTAAGGTGAGTAGTAAATTTTCTCAAATATAGTCAATAATATTGTCAACGTATGACAGATTTTAAATAAAATAATTGTTTTTATCATGGAAAAAAAGTAGTTGTCTACGATTTGTGTGCTTCCATTGCATTGCCACTGCCGTTTGTTAATAAGAACGAGTGATTTTTTATGGTAGTTCTCAAGTGTTAAAACGAGCATTAGGTTTAGGGCCTGATATGGTCAAGTGCCTGTTATAAACGGTAGAATGAGTCAATAGTTTTTTGTTTTTCTTTTGCCACT